GGGGGAGGAGGCACCACGCACTCTGTGGCAAGGCTTGGTGGTTTGTACATATATAGCAACATAAAATAGTTAGTTATGAGTGCAGTCGTGGGTGCAGAGTAGATGGTCATCGCTTATTAGGATGCGTAGTGGTGAGGTTAGGAGTGTGGTGGTAGTGTGGTTTCTTCTGGATTAGTTGAGTGGAGGTTAAGCAGAGCTTTGTCCCCTGAGGTGTCCGCGGTCTCTACGGGGTAGTGGGTCCCACATGTGGCGCAGGGGCGTGGGCTGCTGAGAGGCAGAGGGTAAGTCAGGCACAGGTCTTGGAGGCCTAGTTGCATAGCGAGGTCACGTGCTTCAGATGGTCTGTATAGAGTGTAGGTTTGATTTTCATGCCTCACCATCAGTTTAAATGGGTGACCCCAGGAATATTGTATCCTTCGTGATTGTAAGGCTTGGGTCAGGGGTCTCAGTTCTCGTCGCTTTCATAGAGTGGTAGGTGCCAGGTCGTGGTATAATTGGACCGCGTGGCCTTCGATTTGTAGGGGGGTTTTCCTCACTGCTCGCATGATCGCTTCCTTTATGTGGAAGGAGTGACAGCGTATAATGATGTCCCGAGGCTGGGTAGGGTTTGCGACTGGGTGAGCGAAGGGCTCTGTGTGCTCTGTTTAGTATGTGATCGGCAGGTGGGGCGTCAGGAAGCAGGCTGCTGAAGGCCTCGTGGAGCGTGGATGTGAGCGCTTTGGGTACAAAGGACTCCGGGAGCCCTTGGATCTGTATACTGTTGCGCCTGGATCTGTTATTTAAGTCCTCTTGAGCGTCTTCCAGGTGGGCTATGTGCTCCTTTAATTCTTTAAGGGTGGTATCATGGGTGGAAGTGGTGGCAGATTTGTCTTCCAGTCTGTCCTCTAGTTCGTGTGTGCACTTGGTGAGGTCTGCTAGGCCTTCCTTGATCAAAGCCAGGTGTTTGGTGAATTCAGACGACACTAGGGATTTCATATCTGCCAGGAGGTCCTTCAGGTCCCTTTTAGTAAGGTGTAAGATGTCAGTCCTGTGGCTGGCTATACTAGCTTCGGTATCCAAATCCGAGATCTGGTAACTGGCCGCACGTTTTGGTTCTCTGTCTGGCCTGTTCCTGAAGATCGGGGCCACAGCAGAGCCGGACTTAGATTTTCGGCCTCCACCCATTGCGTTTAGTTTTCGGTATGGTTCAGACTTGTGCTGGATGGTCTGTGGCTCAGTTGTGGGCTTGTTTGCTGCTAGAGATGGCTAATAGTTGCCTGCCACCACAGAGCGTCTCTAGATCGAGACCATCTTCAAGCTCTGCCCTGCCCACCCCCCCACCCACTTTTTTTAAGGAATAAATAATTATTCAATTTTTTAAATCTTTTTTTTTTTTCTTTTACTAGTAACATGTTATATGATCTGGAAAAAAATACTAAAGCCACATTTTGGGGATCTACAGATAAGGCAGCAAACATGTTTTACCCATTGGTTAAAAGGTATAGAAACAGTTTTATACAAAAGAAAATGTGTGAGTTGGACAAGTTTTACAAATGGCTTCACTATCAAGGAGTGGAATGTTTGTTGGTGTTCAACAAACAGAGAGGACTGTCACTAGTAGGTAAAGATCACTGGATACATTGTCCACATTGTTGCCACAAATCCCTTCTACCATTTGGTGGTAATATGCAAGGGAGCATTATCCATTGAAGTCAAAATGGCCCAGGGTGAGAAAAGCTAAAACTATCCAGGGACATTCGGAGGCAAAAATCCAAATGTTATTCACAAAATTGTCAGTGTTTGGATTTTGCAATACAGCATCTGAAAGGACATGAAAATGCACCGGATTCATCCTGTCCAGATACTAAGAATTTCTAAAATATGGAATCAAATGATGGACATACACACCTAAAAAATAAACTTTGTTTTGTTACATTTAGGTTTGTGCAGTTCAACCTCTATAGTATAAGTCGAATTTACAGAAAATTGGTGAACATCTCAATGCAGATATTCTCCCTAATAAATTATTTTGTATAAGTATAATCATTTGATCACAAGGTTTAATTAGTAAAGAAAGGAAATCTGCATGTCTTTCTAGACTTTATTTAACTCCATGTTAGACACCTGTATCTCACACCTGTATTGCAGTTCCATCTTTCTTTGTATGTATCAGTTTGGAAGGTTTTATTAGTTACCATCTACTCTCCCTCAACTGGATGTTCACATTGCCTTAAATTGTAAGTACCACTTTATTTGGGTACTATTGTGATCAAATCCAGTGCTGTAATTGTGAATCAGATCGATGTGAGCTAATTACTAGGGGCACACTCCTAGAAGGGAGTAACACTTAGAAAATGGAGTTAAGCAAAAAAGTGACAATGGAGTGCGTAATACAATGCATAAGGAAGTGGGGTTTACAACTATGTACATATAAAACATAACTTTTATTGAGTATAGGTCTAAAAGTGGCAATGGTGAGTACCTCCATTAAGGGGGTGAAGGAGTGTTATCATAATAATTATTATAGAGGAGGAAGAAAAGGAGAGGTAGATGTCTAGAATATTATCAGAAGGATAATAATAGAAGGTAGAGAGAGTAATATATGTTGGATATAAATGACACCAAAGAGATGTCCACAGCATCAAAGACAATAAGGTAAATCTCTACCTAAACCGTGTGAGCCCTGTCTGTACTTGCAAGGGCACATAAATAAATACCCCCTCACTAATCTAAATCTCAGAAAGAGATAGCTATACTAATTTAAGGATATCAGCTAATATGTTCAAAGCCCTGTCTTGCAGGCAAAATTCTCCATTTCTGTTAGGCAGTAACCTAAATTTTGAATTAAAATTTTTAATTCACTAAAATCTTTTTTTTTTTTAGTAAGTATAGCCCACATACTGACAGTTTTGTTTATTGTCTTGTTGAGATATTTTGTAAAGGTTCTGTTTATGGGATGGATGGACAGACAGACAGATTGTTGAGGAATCTGGACAGGCCTCACATGAATTTAACATATAGCAAATATTATATACAGAAGTTCAATGGGTGTAACTTCTTGTGTACAGAACACTAAGATCGTTTCCTATCAGGTACCAGGTAACACAATAAAACCCCATTATGTTGATTCTACCATTCTATTTACTGTTCAAGCCACATGTTATCTTTTTCAAGTCATGTTACATCGGCATCAACTAAGCTTAAGTGATGCCACATGTATTATTAGTTGTTATGAGTGACAAAGTATGTATTCAACAAACAAGACATTATCCTGAAGAACTGTGAAAAAAACAGATTCTCTGATAATTCCTGAATCACTACAACAGTGTACCAGCAGTAAAAATGGCCAGGGTAATCCGTGCCATTTCTATTATGAAGTACAGTAACAAGAAGTGTTTCAGGGGTTTTGCCTGAGCCATGTTTACCAGTCACAATTAATATGATTGTGAGTGAAGAGAGTGAATATTATGACTGCTAGCAAGCAATCTCCTTAGATATTATCGATATGATGACACCTAATCAAACCCGTGACATTGTAAGCTGGAGTATGAGACTGTGTACAGAATAAGATATTAGCAGTTGGTTAGAGAACATATCTCACTTGATACATATAATGGTATTAAATCTATGCTGACTCTTCCTCAATTAAAAATTTAAACAAAAAATTATTCATGGTAAATGGTTTTGCTAGGTGATAATCGATTTTATTTGTTTAGATCTATCATGGATGAGGAGTTATTTACAGTATTTTTGGCTGAGACCCAAAGACGAGTTAGGCTTTCTTGCAATAAATATTTGTAGAACATTTTATTCGGCTTGGCAGGTATTTGTTAGATCAGATGTTATCCCACGTTCCGCCACCTGTTCTAGTACTCAAGAGGGACAGGAATCTGGTTTTTGCTTCTGCTAATTGAGTGTTTCTTAATTTTCTTGTGTGGGATGTAATTCTTCCGCATCTTTCTCTACACTGTGGACTTGAAAGGATGTCGAGAAGCAGGCCAGCATGGTGCCAATATGAACTGACTAGGTCTCTGAAATTGGGGCATGAGCTCTCCAATATAACAGGAACCTATACAGTAGTCATCTCATTTTTCTATGTGCACTTTTCTGTAGCTATCCACTAGAGGATAAATAGAAGCATATGTTCGGTAATAAAGCCTTTGTATCGGCCAGCAATCACGTGGAGGTCAAGCAACATACAACTTTCTCTGAATATTAGAGCCGCCATATAGCTAGCCATTATGACAAAAACTGTCAAACTGACAAGGGGTGTTTGTCCTTTCTAGATCAGACTGCTTTCTGGCATACTGAACTATATCTAGTTTTCTTTTAGTCATAGTTGGAAGCAATGAACAGAGGGTTATGGGTTTTAATGATAAACAATAATTTATTACTGATATTCTTTCTAAAACAGATATCTCAAACTCTATCGCCACCCAACTATGCTGAATGACAACTCCATTGATTCATTGGCTGTCTACTGCATTTACGTTGTAGTCTGTTAGCATTGGGTGGGTGGGAAGCAGAGTTCGAGATCCCTACTCTCAAAAAAATGTTAAGATCACAATCAAAAAATGCACTTATCAAATTATTGAAAGATGTCTAATGATGGACTCACAATGAGCCATAAGTGATGCTCTATTTTCTGCACCTGATTGCAATTGGTAAAAATTAATGATAAAATGGATGAGAAAAGGGTAAAAATATCACTCAGAATCTGATGCACTAGGTGATCATTTATGTCACATTCCAGCCCCATTAGAGACAGCCCAGCATGCATTCATTATTCCTGCCAAAGAGGGGGCAGACACCAAGGAGTGAACAACAGCAACCAGAGAGAATTATCAAAAGAAATGGAGCGAAACAAATTCAGCTAATGACTAGAAGGGGGGTCTGGGTGATCCTGCAGTGAAGAAAAAAAGAGGCACAGAGAATGAATGGAAAGAGGGGAGGAGAAACAGATTGAACTGTCACATATAGATTGAGATATTATAGTGAAGTCATCAGTTGAAGAACCAAGCATGAATAAAGGACAGGCATGGGGATCACAGAGCTGGAGTTGGCTGGGCACATTGAATCCCCTTCATGTCTTGATCAATGGATGCTGTAGACTCCTATGCTTTCCGCACTTATGGCTACTTCAGTGGTATCTTACAGGTAACAGGGACTGGGAACTGGTAGGGAGTGAGAGACACAATAGATTATGTATAAAGAGTAATTTTGGAGCAAAGTTCTAAAAGTGAAGCAATCAGGAGGAATACTCCATTGGTTTACATTGTGACTACTCCATTTTTAGAATCTTGCCCTAATTTACTCTTTATGTATAATCTCCTGAATATCTATAGCTTGTGACATTAAAAATGGGAAGTGGGGAGTGTAAACACCCCTAATCCTGTTTAACTCCTGTTGAACCTTATTCAGCCAACACTTGCACCAAGTCTTGCCTGTCACAGACCTGCAAATGCCCCTCCATTCTATACCTGCACAGACTATTCAGACCGTCACCTGCACTTTCTGTACCAATGTCAAGGGACCTATGCAAAAGAATATAGAGTTGGGTTAATGTCTTTATGTTTGGGATGAGAAGATCATTAATCATATAGAGTGTTTCTGCTATGATATCTGTGAATAGTGCACTCACATTTTATATAGCTATAATGTCCGTATGTAGTGGACTTGCACATAATGCATAGCTATGATATCTGCATATAGTGCACATGCCATGCAATCCAACATTTATGTCTCACAAAACAGAACGTGGGTGAGCAGGCAAAATGGGGGCAGGCCCAATAACATGACCTCCCATAACAGCACACACATAATACATAACTATAAGAAATGTGTTAACAAAGCAGTTCATTGTGTTCAATTTAAATTTAATTTGCAAGAACTAACTAAATTAATCTAAAATGCAAAATGTAGCTATTTATTAAAGTAACCAAACTCACTAATGAGGTCATAGCTAATAATGGTACAATGTTAAGAATTCGGGAAAAAAAAAAGTATAGTTAAATGAGCAGTCTCAGCACCTTACCCCGTAGAGCCTGCCCTGCTGCCCCAATTTTGAATGGGCTGACATTTACCTGGCTTTCTCAAGTACTCTCAATCAATGAATGATGCTCAAACAGGGACTAATTTTTTTTGCTCAATTGTAATGGGAGTTTCCACTTCAGCCATAGCCAGATCACAGGTTGGTGTTAAGCCAATCGACAACAGTTGGGAAAAAGACAGGGGACTCTGGGTACCATAACCACTACAGCAGGCTATTTTGGGCCCATACTTTTAAAATTAATTTTTCAGTTTACCGCAATTCACTGCAAAATAATTGCATAAAAGTTACTCAAAGTAAGGATCAACAAATATATTTTATTTAGTAAATATAATACAGTGCATGCTGCATCTGTACTGCAGTTTGGTACTAGTACTCCAGTTAATTTAGGAGTTCAAGGATCTGTCCTTGGTCTACTGTTCACATCTATTCTGTTCCCTGGGAAATTGTCAGATGTGCCGTTCACATAATTGTCAGTCCTTTACCCTTCACTAATTGGAGTCTCTCCCAAGACCCATTTTTGCCCAGTTCCCTGCACATCGCTAAGATTTCGCATTTTACAGTGCTTTTAATAATGTTCAGTTCACTGAGTCTGAGCTATAAACTGGACAATGACCACGTACCTTTAAAGAAACAATTTGCCCATGTGCTATTTTAACTGCACCATAACTGCTAACAGAGCAATGTAAAACGTTATACAATCATTTGTGGACATGAATCATTTCCTTTATTAGTGTGAATCTTCCCAAAGATTTAAAAAGATACTAGTTTGTTATTATTATTATTATTATTATTATGATATTTATAGAGCGCCATCAAATTCCGCAGCGCTTTACAATGGGTGGACGAACAGACATGTTGCTGTAACCAGACAAGTTGGACACACAGGAAGAGAGGGGTTGAGGGCCCTGCTCAATGAGCTTACATGCTAGAGGGAGTGGGATAAAATGACACAAAAAGGTAAGGATAGTATTAGACTAGTGACAGTTGCAGAAGAGAAATCAGTCAGGAGCTATTAACAGTTTAATTGATACGCTTTTATGAAGAAGTGGGTTTTTAACGATTTTTTAAACGAGTGGAGACTCGGTGAGCATCTAACGGAGGAGGGAAGCGAGTTCCACAGGAACGGTGCAGCCCTCGTGAAATCTTGAAGGCGAGCATCAGAGGTGGGAGTACGGACAGAAGATAGACGTAAGTCTTCAGCAGATCGTATGGGCCTAGACGGGACATACTTGTGTATAAGAGAGGATAGATAGGTGGTAGCAGCATTATATAGCGATTTGAAAGCAAGAACCAGAATTTTAAATTGAGCTCTATATTTTATAGGAAGCTGATGTAGGGACTGACAGAAGGGTGAGGCATGGGAGGTGCGGGCGGACAGGAAGATGAGCCTCGCCGCCGCATTCATTATGGACTGTAACGGCGTAAGTTGGGAGCACGTAAGACCACTGAGAAGCGGATTACAGTAGTCAAGGCGAGAAAGGACAGTGGAGTGGACCAACACCTTAGTCGCATCTGGCGTTAAGTAGAGGCGGATGTGCGCAATGTTTTTGAGATGGAAATGACAGGATTTGGCGATAGATTGAACATGAGCCTTGAAGGAGAGGTCTGAGTCAAAGAGAACACCTCGGCAGCGAGCCTGCGTGGTGGAGCTGATGATAGCACCGCTGACTTGGAGGGAGACAGGCACAGGAGTAACAACACTTGAGGGAGGAAGACCAGAATTTCAGTTTTGGTCAAGTTTAGTTTAAGGAAGTGGGCAGCCATCCAGTTAGAAACAGCAGAGAGGCAGTCAGAGACACTAGTCAAGAGGGACGGGGAGAGATCAGGAGAGGACAGGTAGATTTGCGTGTCATCTACATAGAAATGATATTGGAAGCCAAAGGAGCTAATGAGTTTACCAAGGGAGGCAGTATAGATGGAGAACAGTAGGGGACCAAGGACAGACTTGGGGGACACCAACACAGAGGAGTTGGGGAGAAGAAGCAGAGCCAGAGAAAGAAACACTGAAAGAGCACTGGGAGAGGTAGGAGGATCACCAGGAGAGAGCAATATCTTGAAGACCGATATTGCGGAGGATGAGAAAAAGCTATTGATGATCAACAGTGTCAAAAGCTGCAGACAGGTCAAGGAGAATTAGGATAGAGTAGTGACCACGAGATTTTGCAGCGAGTAGATCATTGGATACTTTGGTCAGTGCCACAGAGTGCTTAGCGCGGAAACCAGACTGAAGCGGGTCCAGCAGAGAGTTGGACTCGAGGAAGTCTGTCAATCTCGCATACACAATTCTTTCAAGGATCTTGGATGCAAAAGGCCGTAGCGAGATAGGACGATAGTCTTCTTTAGAATTGGGGTTACAGTTGCATGTTTGAAGGGCGATGGAAATATACCAGAGGACAGAGAGAGATTGAGAATTTTAGTGAGAGTTTGAGAAAGAGAAGAAGACAGAGTACGGATGAGATGCGAGGGAATTCGATCTAGGGAGCAGGTGGTGGGGTGGGAGGACTGGAGCAGAGCAGAAACCTCTTCCAATGTAGCGGGTGCAAATGAACATAGAACAGCAGAAGGAGTGAAGTTAGGGGAAGTATTGTAAGGGGAAGAAGAAAGATGAGAGATCTCTTTTCTGATTGTAGAGATCTTGTCAGTGAAGTGAGTTGCAAAGTCTGAGGCGGTCAAGTTAGTAGGTGGAAGAGGAATGGAAGGGCGAAGAAGAGAGTTAAATGTGTGAAAGTCGTTTGGGTTCGCCGGAGAGTGTGGTTATGAGGGTATTGAAGTAATTAACTTTTGCGGAGGAAAGAGCCAAGCTGTATGAGCTCAGCATAAATTTATAGTGGAGAAAGTCAGATGCACAGTGAGACTTTCTCCAACAGCGTTCAGCAGTTCTGGAGCATTTTTGGAGGTATCGAGTGAGCTTGGTGTGCCAGGGTTGTTGTTGGGGGCGCCTGCGGCGTTTAAATGTTTAAATGTCTAGTTGAGAGGAGAGGGTGAAATTGTAGAAGGAAGTTGCAGAACTAGGACAGGTGAGGTTTGAGATAGGTAAAAGGAGAGTTTGGAGATTAGTGGAGAAATGCTCTAGGTCAAGACATTGGAGGTTTCTGTGAGAGTGATGTTCAGACGGTGTTGTCAATTGGGTCTTAGGTATGCCAATGTCAAAAGTCAGCAGATGGTGGTCAGATAGAGGAAAAATAATATTGGAGAGATTAGAGGCAGTACAGAGGTTGGTGAAGGCAAGATCAAGAGTGTTTCCTGCTGTATGGGTTGCTAAATTGGACCATTGCGTAAGGCCAAAGGAGGAGGTTAGAGAGAGCAGACGAGAGGCATCAGTGCAATTGGGGTTGTTGATTGGGATATTGAAATCCCCAAGTATACGTGAAGGAGTGCTAGATGAAAGGAAGTGGGGAAGCCAGGAAGAAAAGTGATCAATGAATAGTCTAGGATAACTGGGGGTTGGGGGGGTAGATGATAGCAATTCTTAAAGGAGTGGGTTTAAATAGGAGGACAGTGTGAACGTCAAAAGAAGAAAAGGATTGGGCAGAGGGAGTTATGATTGGTTGAAAGGTACATTGAGGGGAGAGAAGGATGCCTACACCGCCTCCTTTACAGTTGGGTCTGGGAGTGTGAGAGAAGGATTGGAGGAAGGCAGATGTGGTTCCTATATTCAAAAAGGGTTCAAAATCCTTGCCTGGAAATTATAGACCTGTGAGCTTAACTTCTGTGGCTGGTAAAATATTTGAAAGGTTATTAAGGGATAATATTCAAGAATTCCTTGAGAAGAACATGGTTATCAGCAAAAATCAGCACGGTTTTATGAAGCACAGGTCATGTCAAACTAACTTGATTGCGTTCTACGAAGAAGTAAGTAGAAGTATAGATCAGGGTGTTGCAGTGGATGTGATCTATTTGGATTTTGCCAAGGCATTTGATACAGTTCCACACAATAGATTAGTGTTCAAACTCAAGGAAATCGGTCTAGATGAAAATGCTTGTTCTTGGGTAGAACATTGGCTTAAAAACAGAGTACAAAGAGTTGTCATTAATGGTACATTTTCAAGCTGGACAGAGGTGGCAAGTGGTGTCCCTCAGGGGTCTGTTCTGGGACCCCTTCTATTTAACATGTTTATAAATGATCTTGAAGACCGCATTGAAAGTCATGTTTCAGTGTTTGCAGATGACACCAAACTTTGTAAAACAATACAATGTGAGCAAGATATTACTTTGCTGCAGAGGGATTTAGATAGACTGGGGGACTGGGCACTCAAATGGCAGATGAAATTTAATGTTGAAAAATGCAAAGTTATGCACTTCGGCGTAAAGAATACACAAGCAACGTATACCCTTAATGGAAGCGAATTAGGGATAACAACACATGAAAAGGACTTGGGAATTGTTATAGACAACAAGCTATGCAACAATGTGCAATGTCAATCAGCAGTGGCCAAGGCCAGTAAGGTATTGTCATGCATGAAAAAGGGCATTCATTCTCGGGACAAGAATATAATTTTGCCTCTTTATAAATCACTGGTAAGACCCCATATTGAATATGCTGTGCAATTTTGGGCACCTGTTCTAAAGAAGGATATTATGGCACTAGAAAAAGTGCAGAGGCGGGCTACAAAATTAATAAAAGGAATGGAACATATCGGCTATGAAGAAAGGTTAACAAATTTAAACCTATTTAGTTTAGAAAAACGTCGCCTGAGAGGGGATATGATAACATTATACAAATATATTCGGGGCCAATACAAACCATTGTGTGGAAATCTATTCACAAACCGGACTTTACATAGGACACGAGGCCATGCGTTTAGACTGGAAGAAAGAAGATTTCGTCTAAGGCAAAGGAAAGGTTTTTTTACTGTAAGAACAATCAGGATGTGGAATTCTCTGCCTGAAGAAGTGGTTTTATCAGAGTCCATACAGATGTTCAAACGGCTACTAGATGCATACTTGCAAGAACAGAATATTCAAGGATATAATCTTTCAATGTAGGGTAATAACTGCTTGATCCAAGGATAAATCTGACTGCCATTCTGGGGTCAAGAAGGAATTTTTTTCCTAGTTTGTTGCAAAATTGTGCTTCAAACTGGCTTTTTTTGCCTTCTTTTGGATCAACAGCAAAAAACAAATGTGAGGTAGGCTGAACTTGATGGACGCAAGTCTCTTTTCAGCTATGTAACTATGTAACTATGTAGCCCACCAAAACATAAAGAGGCAGGAGTAGCGCTATCAGAGGGGGGCAGCCAGGTCTCTGTAAGTGCAAGCAGTGTGAGTGAGTTTGAGATGCAAGGAGCAGAAAGGGATCAAAATGAGAAAGGAGCAGAAGGACGCAAAATAAGCAGAAAGTAGCAGAAAGGTAAAAGAGCAGAAGGGGACAAGGATAGAAAACAGTGTCAGAAGAAAAAAAAAGACTGTCAAATGAAGGAGAGGAAAAGGAGATTGGAGCAGGAAGGACAATTGAAGTGAACCCTCCACTTTATTCTGGACAACACATCATAAGGCTTTGGTACCTGGGCCTGGCAGGGAAACGCTGGACCTTCTCATCTCCAAAGGTAAAAAAATATCAGTATTAATGTGTTCACTTTTATTTACTGAGTGTCAGGAAGCACAGAGTGCCGTTGGGTAGGGGTGTTGCTGATTGGCTAGAGCGGTCAGCTGGCACTCTAAGCCAATCAGTAGCTCCCCATTCATAAAAAAGTAAAAATATTTTATGAACCGGGAACTAGCGATTGGCTTAGAGCGTCAACTGACCACTCTAGCCAATCAGCGGCACCCATGCCTGACGTCAATCTGCACTTCCTGACACTCTGTTTCAGAAGCCAAATACCACTGAGCGACCTGGAGCTGGAGGAAGCCTTTGGGGTTAAACCATTTGAGAGCGATTTAACCCCTTAAAGGAAAGCGAGCACCCAGGGGCTTCCTGGCATCATAGCATTTTCATTTAGGTGAAGTTGTTATGGTGACCAGAAATGTCCTTTAATTTGCTTAAGGGAACACTATAGTGTCAGGAATACAAACATATATTCCTGACACCATAGTTGTGAAAACGCTATTCACCCTGGCTTTATGTGATAATGGCTATGCCCCTTCCCTTTCATGACACTGTCAAAAAGGTACCAAGCATGGATGTCATTACAATTATGCCCATGGTCGTGTATGGTTGTTGATTTTAAATTACTGCAGATGGCGCGTGCATTCCAGAGTGCATATTGTGATTAGGTTTGTGGGGTTTCTGGTTGTCTTAGTGTGTGTAGAGAAGGTTCTTCCGCCCTGGATTGGGGGAGACATCACCAGCTGCTAGAAGTAGGAGGAGAGAAAGTGACAGGAGGTGTGAATGGGTTTTGTATGCATGGGGTCTAGGATGAGATCGATTGTGGGTCGGAGTGAGAGAGTAGAAAATTCAGTGTAAGGCATGAGATGAGAGAAGGGGCATATGTAAATGTGGATGGGGGATGAGTGAAGTGGGTGTAAGGAGAGATTTTTATACTGAGGGAGACTGAGGAAATAAAGAGGAGGAGAAAACAGATCATTGCTAAACTGTGAAAAATAAAAATTGGAAATAATTGGAATATCAAGAGCAGGTGAAGGAAGGAAACATATTATGTTATATGGGTTAAGAAAGTGCAGGAGTGTACTAATAAGAGGCAGGTTTTTTTTGTTTGTTTGTTTTTTTTAACCTAACTAAAATGTGGGTGTGACAGACAATCTATAAATGTAATAATGAGCATGGGGTGGGCATCAGGCTTGCTCACTGAAGGAATGGGCTTGCAAAGTTGGGGAATCAGGCTGTTGAATAAAGAGATGTGAGGGTCAGAGAGCTTGCAATAAAGGTAAGGGAGGGGGAAATGTATCTAGGTACAGAGATGAAGAGATGGTTATTCAAATAAAAACAAACATATCAATAAGAAAAGGGAGGGGCCAGTCACAAATCATAGGGGAAATAGAGGAATGCAAATAGGTGAATAAAACAATTACATACAGGGCTAGCAAAACTACACTTTAGCATAACAGACAAGATATAAATACAAGAAAATATACAATGTACACAGGATATATAAAATAAAAATAAAATAAATGTACAGGGTGGTTAAGTTAAAAATAAATGAAGGTGTGCAGGATAGAGTCCTAGTGTGGTCTTCCAGAAGGCTACCTTTGCTCACTGAAGTAATGGGCTTGCAAAGTTGGGGAATCAGGCTTTGCAGGCGATCAGGCTTGCTCACTGAAGTAATGGGCTTGCAAAGTTATCTTGGAGCGTAATGTACATGGCAGGTAAGACACTGCTCTGGGAAATCTATATGACATAACTATTTCTAATAAAAAGCATAATATAGTGATTACCATATATATTTGTGCATAACTGAATTAAATGGCTATGTATTCCCCATGTCAAAAGAACACACTAATGTTATAAATACAAATTAATCCTGGTGCCTTATAGATTATTGGGTCTGCAAGTCAAAATAAAGTAAAAAACACCTCTCAACCAGCGGTGTCCCGGTCTTGTCGTGGGCACATTCTGCTTTCTTCTGCAATGCACAGAAAAGCATTGGGGGGCCAGACCATCATGGTGACTAGATGTGTTTCTGGGGAGCTCCCTGAGACACACTGCACAAATTGAATTTCTGAGCTAATTCAGCAACTATTTCTAAGCTTGCTACTTACTCTTAGTCTTACGACATGACAGAGAGATCGGGGAACATGCCCTGCAATCCTCTCAAGCAATCTAGTCGCCAAAGTACAATGAGGCCTAGCAGGTGCTTTGGAGGGGAGAGGCGGCCGGTCTCCAGGACAGGCGCAAGCAGAGCCCCAAGCATGTTACTGATGCTCTGCTGCCCCTCCCCTTTGGACCAGTGGGAGTGATCCCGGTCCCCACCCAAAAGGCTCTCATGACCCACCGCGGAGCCACAGCAGTAACTCAGAAGCAGATGCTCCTGATATACCAATTTGAAAACAAAAATGTCAAGGCAGCTGGAACAAATGGATGTTGACAGTCAATAAGGACATGCCCTGAAAGTAAATAATTCCAAATATTCATGCAGGCATCAGTTAGGGATTGCCTTCTTCAGTTTCTGAAAGCATAAAGAACAACGTCTACAACCTGGTAAAAACAATATGACAAAACCGTAATTATAGCCAGTACAGATGGCCTTACAACATTTTAAGTCCTGTTAGCAGCAAAAAAAGATTGAAAACTCACTTGTGGTAGATACTATATAATTTGAAATTGGAGAAAAGTCTTTGGACTTCTTTCTAATTTATCACCTCGAGGGGCAGGTGTAGATATTGTTAAATTAATTTTTAAAGTGGAACAATGTTCTTTTTCTTTTCCCAATGTTTTGTTCTTTGTATATCACATTATTACTGACCAACTATAAGCAACTGTCTTGAAACAAACGCATCTGCTGTATTCAAATGGCTTTCAGTAAGATGGACCTTTGTGGACAAGCCCAGTTAGGTGTTTACATGGGACACTGCACATATGTAGGGTTATGTTACATAATATATGGATTTTGGAGGCTCTAGGGCTTATCACACATACAGTAAGGATTCCATGTTAATGTCAACTCAATCCATAAATGCAATTAATACAACTTTCAGATAATATTGACTGCTTTAAAACCGCTGTGCTAATAGATTGTCAAAAATATCTAGTGTTCTGGAACTCCTATTTGCAGTGATGTATTCTTTGTAAAACTAATTATTTCTAACAGTGCCTTGTGAGTGAGTGCTGCATAGGAATCCTGACATTCTTAATTGAAAGGGGTTTCATAAATGAGAAACAAAATGTGATTGGTTAGTGATTTCCAGTGAGCAATGAGTACATTGAATGCTACAGCAAGTAATGAGTACAAAGAATGCTACAGCGAGCAATGAGCAATGAGTACATTGAATGCTACAGCGAGCAATGAGCAATGAGTACATTGAATGCTACAGCGAGCAATGAGCAATGAGTACATTGAATGCTACAGCGAGCAATGAGCAATGAGTACATTGAATGCTACAGCGAGCAATGAGCAATGAGTACATTGAATGCTACAGCGAGCAATGAGTACATTGAATGCTACAGCGAGCAATGAGCAATGAGTACATTGAATGCTACAGCGAGCAATGAGTACATTGAATGCTACAGCGAGCAATGAGCAATGAGTACATTGAATGCTACAGCGAGCAATGAGCAATGAGTACATTGAATGCTACAGCGAGCAATGAGCAATGAGTACATTGAATGTTACAGCGAGCAATGAGCACATTGAATGCTACAGTGAACAATGAGTACATTGAATGCTACAGCGAGCAATGAGCAATGAGTACATTGAATGTTACAGCGAGCAATGAGCACATTGAATGCTACAGTGAACAATGAGTACATTGAATGCTACAGCGAGCAATGAGCACATTGAATGCTACAGCAAGTAATGAGTACATTGAATGTTACAGCGAGCAATGAGTACATTGAATGCTACAGCGAGCAATGAGCACATTGAATGCTACAGCGAGCAATGAGCAATGAGTACATTGAATGCTACAGCGAGCAATGAGCACATTGAATGCTACAGCAAGTAATGAGTACATTGAATGCTACAGCGAGCAATGAGCAATGAGTACATTGAATGCTACAGCGAGCAATGAGCAATGAGTACATTGAATGCTACAGCGAGCAATGAGCACATTGAATGCTACAGTGAACAATGAGTACATTGAATGCTACAGCAAGCAATGAGCAATGAGTACATTGAATGCTACAGTGAACAATGAGCACATTGAATGCTACAGCAAGCAATGAGCAATGAGTACATTGAATGCTACAACGAGCAATGAGCACATTGAATGCTACAGTGAACAATGAGCACATTGAATGCTACAGTGAACAATGAGTACATTGAATGCTACAGCGAGCAATGAGCAATGAGTACATTGAATCCTACAGCAAGCAATGTGCAATGAGTACATTGAATGCTACAGCAAGTAATGAGTACATTGAATCCTACAGCGAGCAATGAGCAATAAGTACATTGAATGCTACAGCGAGCAATGAGTTAACGAGTACATTGAATGCTACAGCGAGCAATGAGTACATTGAATGCTACAGCAAGTAATGAGAACATTGAATGCTACAGCGAGCAATGAGTACATTGAATGCTACAGCAAGCAATGAGTACATTGAATGCTACAGCGAGCAATGAGTACATTGAATGCTACAACGAGCAATGAGCACATTGAATGCTACAGTGAACAATGAGTACATTGAATGCTACAGCGAGCAATAAGCAATGAGTACATTGAATCCTACAGCAAGCAATATGCAATGAGTACATTGAATGACCAGGGATGCAAGTACCAGTTGGGTTGTAGTGTGGGACTGCACTACATCCCCACATTGGATTCACCCATTAAATAGACACTTAATATACCCAAATAATAATAATAAAAAATGTATTGTTGATATAATTCTAATAAAAACTTATATGCATTTTATTATGTTTTTTTTTATTGGAGGTATATCTAAACACAGCTTGCAATTGCTGCAGATCTCCTATCTGCAGCCATTTGCAAGCTCTTCTCATCTAACCCCGCCCAGACTTTAAGTTGCTGTCCAATCACATGTTTCCCAATGCAGCTCAATGGGTAGTCATGCAAGGTAGGTTCTCTTGGCAATTGCCTGCCTCTTGAGTTTAGCTCCACTGAGCTAAGCAAACTACAAAGTAACAGAACCCCTTGCCTGATTGACCGCCAGGGGATGTAACAAGGTTCATTTATAAAACTGCCGCTTTCTACTTAAATCTGCACTTTTCGTAGAATGAAAAAAGAGGACAAACTTTTCACACATGAAACAGTGCAGCCTCTAAATACTTTCAATTACATCCTCCCTTGGGCTATCACAGTGGGCTAATTCTTCCACCCATGTAGCTGGCAATAGCCTTGACCTAATATTATCTTATGCATGTACAGTATCTAATTTCTGCAACACTCCACTTCCTCTCTCTGATCACCACCTCTTATCGTTTGCGCTCGTGTATCCCCTCACCCAACAACCTCAGCCTAACCCCCCTCAACTCAGGAGGGACCTTGATTCTCTTGATCTCCAGCAGCTGTCAACTGATATTGATTCACGACTACTGTCTATCCCTTCCCTCTCCTGTCCTTCACTGGCTATCTCCGCATATAACACTACCCTCACCTCTGCCTTGAACACTGCAGCACCGCTCCAAACAAGCACCTCGAGTAGAACCCGCCCCCAACCGTGGTATACTAAATCAACACGCTACCTGCAAAGATGCTCCCGTTGTGCTGAACGCTCCTGGAGGAAGTCTCGCACCCAGTCAGACTTTCTCCATTATAGATTCATATTGTGTTCATACAGCGCAGCCCTTGCCCTCGCCAAACAGTCCTACTTTTCCTCTCTCGTTAGTTCATGCTCCCGCAATCCCAGGCGTTTCTTTGACACCTTTAATTCTCTTCTTTGCCCTGCTGTAGCCACCCCCGTTACCGCCGATAGCTTTGCATGTTACTTTACTGACAAGATTGAACAGCTAAGGAAAGAATTCTCCCCTCCTTGCCGTTCTCTTTCTCAACCACACATAGATCATCTCTTCCCTACCCTTCAGACATTCTCCCCAGCTACTGACAAAGATGTGGCTGCTCTTCTCTTTTCCTCTCGCCCGACCACTTGCCCACTCGATCCTGTGCCATCTCACCTTATTAGATCTCTCTCCACTTGTCTCGTGCCTTCCTTAACACACATCTTCAACTGCTCTCTCTCTTCTGGCATTGTCCCTGCTGACCTTAAACATGCCACTGTAGTACCTATCCTAAAAAAAACATCCATCCACCCATCCACCCTCTCTATCATCCCATATCTCTGCTCCCTTTTTCCTTAAAGCTTCTGGAAAGACTTGTCTTTACCTGTGTGTCTCATTTCCTCAATTCCAACTCTCTCCTTGACCCTCTTCAATCTGGCTTCCGCCCTCTCCACTCTACTGAGACTGCGCTTATCAAAGTTACTAATGACCTAAACGCAGCTAAATCCAAAGGCCACTACTCCATACTAATTCTTCTTGACCTCTCTGTGACCTTTGACACCGTTGATCATGCTCTCCTTCTTCAAACTCTTCAATCGCTCGGTCTCTGTGACTCTGTCCTCTCATGGTTTTCCTCTTATCTTATCTAACACTCATTCAATGTCTCTTTTTCTAATGATACCTTCTCCACACTTCTCCACCCGTCCTTTTTCGGTTGGAGTCCCCCAAGGCTCTGTACTTGGTCCCCTTCTATTTTCTCTTTATATTGCCTCTCTTGGCAAACTTATTACCTCTTTTGGATTCCACTACCACCTGCATGCTGATGACACCCAGATATATCTCTTATCCCCTGCTGTCCTGCATCGTGTCACTGCTTGCATTTCTTCCATCTCCGACAGGATGTCCTCCCGCTTTCTGAAACTCAATCTCTCTAAAACTGAGCTCCTCGTCTTTCCTCCTCCTAATACTGATCCTCCTCTTTCGCTCTCCCTTCAAGTTTGTGGTACCCCCATCAGTCCATCCTTGCAAGCACGCTGTCTTGGCGTCATACTTGATTCTGGCCTCACCTTTGAGCCTTACATCCAGTATGTTGCCAAATCCTGTAGATTCCATCTAAAAAACATAGCCCGCATCCGCCCCTTTCTTACGCAAGATGCTACCAAGGTGCTTGTCCATGCTCTGGTAATTTCCTGCATGGATTATTGTAACCCAAAAGCCGTACTGCACCACTACAGTCCATAATGAACACTGCTGCCAGACTGATTTTCCTCTCTAGTCGGTTCTCTCACACCTCACCCCTCTGTCAGGCCTTACATTGGCTTCCTGTATGCTATAGGAGTCAATTCAAGGTACTAACTCACACCTATGAAGCACTGAACAACTCTAGCCCCCCTTGTATCTCTTCACAGATCCATACGTATGTCCCTTCTCGGTCTCTCCGCTCTGCCCGTGACCACCTCCTGTCCATTGCCCGCACCCGTAGGCCAACTCATGCCTGCAGGACTTCTCGCGGGCGACTCCTTTCCTATGGAATAGTCTGCCTACTGCCATCAGACTCTCCCCTAGTCTTGCATCTTTTAAGAAGTGCCTTAAAACCTATCTCTTTTGGAAAGCTTATGGCCTACCAGACTAACCTCTACATCACATACCTGTCTCTTGCTCTCTCCTAAAGGGCAGCCCACCTTATTTGAATGCAAATTCCTATAGAATGTAAGCTCGTTTGAGCAGGGTCCTCTCCAACCTATCGTTCCTGTGTTTGTTTGTTTTTTAATTGTCCTATTTATAGTAAAATCCACCTCTCATAATATTGTGAAGCGCTACAGAATCTGTTGGTGCTATATAAATGGCAATAATAATAATGACACGTCAGTAAGTGCTCTGTTGAGGCCATGTGTGATTCCAGCATCTATTTTGCCACAGGATATTGTCACTCTGCATCCTCTTTTTCTGATGCTCAGGTCATTCTCAGGGGACCCCAGAAGTGACTCCAATAGCCTTTTTCATCTTTCTAAATACATGCACTGTTCTCCCTAGCCTGTGCCATGTCAGGATTCTTTGTACTGTGCAAGATAACATACATTATCCTGTTGTGTGTATTTGTTTCTGACCCAGCTCTGTTTTGACTACTCTGACCTCTCACCTTTTCATTACACTATATCTGTCATCCTTGACCTCGCCCTGTATGCCTTTGCTTCACCTACTTGCAGGTGAGTTTTTGTTGTGCTTGGCCTCACATTAACCCTGGTCATCCTTTAATTCTCTATCTAAGATCCACATTGAAAAACGTGCATCTAAACTTTGTCCAAAACTAGGTGCCCTGTACTTAAACAAATCCTGCCTAAGTCCTTCATCTTTCCAGCCTTGTGTTTAAGGCTGTACTTTGTATCACACAGCCTTGTTACAATGCTGCCGCCCATCCCATGTGTTCCCTAATAAGGGTTAATAAGTATATAGGGGTGTATATAAAAAATACCCCTCTCTGTCTCATTGGAGTTATCTTTGCCAGAAGCTCAAGGAAGCAGGCTGAAGGGTTAGTGTTGAACCCGCTTTAGGGTCAGTTTAGGACCCGCTTTAGGGGGGTCTGCCTTGACGTTGGCAGGCGGGCATTCCCTCCAATGGCCATTAGAGCAATTAAATGACCTCCATTTGTCTATATATACATAGGGATTAAGGAGAGAGCACAGGTAACTTTTTCTTTCCTTTGGTTTTTACTATATATTGGGGCTGATGTGTACTGTAGTCATTGCTGCCGGCCCAGTAGTGATGGGAGTGAGAGCAGGACTTATCTTTTTGTATTTTCTAAAAAACTTCCATGTTTCTTCCAGGGATTTGTGCTGTAAAGGTGACAGTGAATACCCCAAGTGTGCAGGTGACTAGAGGAGGAAGTGCTCTCCTACCCTGTTTGTTCCGTACCACCGCTGCACTGAACCGTCTGAACATTATCTGGACAGTCTCTCCACTAGTGGAACCCCAACACCCACTGCAGGTAATACTGTGTTTTTTTTTTTACATAACTCCACTAAACGACTCACACATTGAACTTATTAAGTGGATCTTTCCTTCATGGTGTGGAACCATAGTGGAGGTTTTGATGACAAGCACAGCATAGTTGCTAACTGTCACAGTATTTCAAGGAATGTTCCTCCAGACTAATGTCCCTCAAAAAAACAGGTCCTGTGATCAGCCCCATCTTCTATATTCAACCCTGCAATTCTGTTTTAAGACGTGAACAATTAAATAATACTGCAGTAAAAATGTGATCCTGATGATCCCGGTATCACTGACCAGGTGAAACGTGCACCAGGTGCACAAGTAGACTCACACTGGAATTAGGACGTTTATTTATTTGATTTATTTATCAGAACTGGTGACTGGCTGGCAAATTATTAGGGCATAGCTAGAAAGCAGCTGAAAATAGAGCATTCTAGGGAACAGCCTAGCCACCTGTCCTGCTTGGGATTTGAATTAATAGATTTGTTCCAGTGTGGGTTACTACTTTGTCTTCGACTATTTAGTTTTATCTTCCACCTATATACATCCAAACCAGACATTAGACTCGGAATTTGGAGGGCATCACAATTGTTTGCCGTTTAAATGAACAGAGACAAGTAGGACTTACCTGGTTTTGTGCTGTTTGGTGTATACTAAATATGACCGGTGGTGATTTTTTTTCTTGGGGGTGGGAGGACCAATATTGCCACGACATTCTAAGTTAATTTCAAATATATGTTATTATTGCAATATTTGTACTAAATATAAAATAATCATTAGTATTTATTTATATTTGGGGGAATAGCGACCCCTAGTGGGGTAGATTTAACATTACTGGGATTACCCAGTTTCAACTCATCTGAACAGTGACCCCTATATAACAGTATATGTGGTTGCAAGTGTGCGGTTGTTTAACCTTTTTCTGAATAGTGATCTTCATGGGTTTCAACTAACTAGGGGGATAGTGACCCCCTGGTGAACAGTGTATAAACCTTTTACCAATACGTTATTGATACTGTTTTAAGTTAAACATACGTTTTTCTTCTTCCTTTTGCTTCTCCTTTAGTGTGTGGGAAGGTCACGTGTGATTTTTGTACCTTTGTTTAGACGATGTGTTCATTTTTTAATAGGTTTTTTAATTTTAATATGAATTAATTAAAAAATTAAAAATTACACCACATGTTCTACTGTATTATTTCTGAAGGCTAAAACCCCTTGGCCCTGTGGTTGACAAACAGACTGGTCCCACAACCCTTTTAAGGGTATAGTTTTCTCCATTAAATAATACTGAACTCATAAACTGAACTGTTGAGCTGATTTCTGCATAAGACTCTCAAAACTGGGAGATATGGAATCAGGAAGTGATGCAGGCCTTTAAGGGAGCATCACCATAATTAATGGGCCAGCACAGATGGGCCATAATTGATGGCCCCCACCATACAGTACCATGCAGAAAGCTCTGTTGAAGCATTTTGTGCACGGTCCTAGTGCCTACTGCACAAAGCAATCACGTCTAATGATGAACTTGCCCTGTGCTGGTGCCAGGGAACTAAATCAGGATTGTAGGACAGGACTGTGGAAGCAGGACAGTTTGGAATCCTGATAACATACTTACCATAGTGTCAATGCATACACCTCCTCAATATCATCGGTGACCAGGGTAAAAGGGCGCAGGCCAGTGACACAAAATATTACTGGTACCACCCAAACACCCACCTGGAAAGAGGGCAGGTCTGCCTGAAGAACTGTCAGATCAGCTGGTGTAGATAGAGGTGTGAGCACAAAAAGGTCAGAAATGCCATATATCACAAAAACATCCCTACCTGTATTTCCTGATGTGAGTTAACACATGTGACATGTCATGATTCCCTTTTATTCCAGAAGTTTGGTTCTTAAGAGGTTAAAGATGGCAAAAATTGCACACTCCGACAATAAGAGGCGCAAGTCTCACCTGCTGTCCAGCTTCTCATGTCTTCTACACTACTGAAATGATTTTGTTCATGCAAGAAAACCCAGAACTATATTAAAAAAGTGCACTCATTTCTGGAGATATGTGCACCCTGCTTTGGCCCTGAAACAGTTAGAATCTATTAAACGCCTTTATAAAGTGTTGGAACACTCTCTTCGGTGCAGCTTTCATTCTACTCTTGTGAATGCGTTGTTACTGATGACTTGTGTCCTATTAGATATTTCTCATAGAAAAGCGCTGGGACAACAATGCTTCTCTATTAGAATCAACCATAAAACCTATAGTTCAAAGTGAGTGAGGTAGGGAATGGAGGTGTTGCTAAGGGAGTTATTAAAACATGTCTGCAGGGAAATGCAGCTAACCCCTACAGCACTTCAGTTAGCTAAAGTGCATAGTGGACTAGGCTGTCCATTTAATGTAGTGTAGCGGTTAATGGTCAATGTCAGGATAGGGTAGGGTAGGTTTTAATTTTTTGTGATAGGGTTAATAGTGTAGAGCGGTGTTTCGCGGAGAACACAAATGGGATTCCGCCGTAATTTCGGCAAACAAAATGGCCATCACGATTTGGCCTGGTCAGGTGCCGCTGATAATTGAGGCGGGCGGCGAGGGAGCACTCTCCCCTGCTCAGCTCCCTCACGTGCATCGCAGGATTCTGGAGCCGGAATATGACGTCACTCCTGCCCAGGCACCACTAAGAGGCGCACCAGGAAGCTGAGCAGAAAGATCACTGCTTCCTTGCCGCCCGCACGCCAGCCGCTCAGCCCCACTGGACCCCAGGGACTGCACGCCAGCCGCTCTGCTTAGCAGCCCCACTGGACCCCAGGGACCTCACACCAGCCACTCAGTCCAGCATCCCCACTGGACCCAAGGGAAATAGAAACTCCATGCCAGCATTCTCAAAGGTAGGGAGGCTGGGTGGAGTGAAATTTTAAAAAAACAAATAAATTGTGTGTGTGTCTGTTAATGAGTATGTGTGCTTGTCAGTGAGTGTGTGTGTGTGTGCTTGTCAGTGAAGGTGTATGTCTGCCAGTGTATGTCTGTGTGTAAGTATGTGTGTGTGTGTCAATACGTCTGTCAATGTATGTGTCTGTGTGTGTTTCAATATTTCTGTTAGTATATGTCTGTGTGTGTGTCAGTATATCTGTCAGTGTATGTGTCTGTGTGTGTCAGTATGTCTGTATGTGTGAATGTCTGTCTGTGTGGGTCATTACATCTGAATGTGTCAATATGTCTGTCCGTATATATATTTGTGTGTCAGTATGTATCTGCAAATGTGTCAATATGACTGTGTGTGTGTATGTGTCAGTATGTCTGTCAGTGTAAATGGCTGTGTAAGTATGTTTTGAATCTCTCTACTTTAGTTCCCCACTGCATTGTGCCAAAACGTGTAATTGGGGAGGGGGTGGAAGAAAGGGCACAGGGGCCCAAGAACATAACATCTATAACATATTTAATTTATATAATAAAACTTCAAAAGCCCTTTTCTTAAATTTGTTTAGTAGATAACTTCATTATTTGCTATCCTTATGTGTGATTGCCATATTTAAAAATATCAACTTAGGGAGCTATCTATTATAGATATAATGTAACTTATTCCTGTCTTCTATCCACATTGTGCAGGTCATCTCATATGAGCAGGGCCAGGTTGTAGAAAGTCTTAGTGATTACTTGGGGCGAGTCAGATTTGCCTTCCATCCAACCAAAGATGCTAGCATCATCATCAATCAAACACGAACCTCTGACACTGGAACATACCAGTGCACGGTTATCAACCCCCCAGATGGGGCAACGCCCAACATTGGTCTTATTGGACTTACTGTGCTTGGTGAGTAACAATTATAGAGTAATTGACAAGTTAACTAACAGTCTCTGCAGTGGCTGACTGGAAACTTTTGGCCCAGTGAGCAAGTGCAACCCAATGGCCCATGGTGCAGCAACTCGGCCACACATTAAAAAAATAAATTTAAAAAAATCTTATCTGCCCATCAGCTATGCAGCTCCGTCCTGCCTGATGCCCCGAGGCCATGGCGGCATTATGGCAAATTTGGCCCTGGCCGAATTTACCTGCCTGTCCAGCTTCCTACGTCCATCCCGGCAATCAGTGTAGGGGTTGAGGCAAGGGAGTGCAGCGATGTGGGCCATGAGTGAGCAGGGGGACAGTATCTGAACAGGGTAAATTGTAGCAGGGGTGCGGCCGTGAATAGGGAAACGCAGCTGTTTAGCTGTCTGTGTCAGATATACCCTCCTTGCTGCCCCAAGACCATTACCCTGGTGCAGTAGTTTGAGAATAGGAGCTTTACAGGGGGGTATTGGCTATAGCAGGAGATTTAAGGCTATAGTGGGGGGATAGATGCTGTAGCAAGATATAGATGCCATGGCAAGGAGACCGTAGCAATTATGGAGGGAAAGGTGGCCATAGTGGGGATGATAGTGGCTGTAGTGGGCGTTAAGGGATTATTGTGGTGTGGATAGTGATTATAGTGGTGGTAGATGGGCTGTAGTGGGGAGAAATTGGCTTGGATATATATTATTGGTGGATAGTGGGGCTGTAGCGGGATGACATAGGCTTTAGTGCGGTGAAATGTGCTGTGGTGGGGTGATGGGACTATACTGACAGTGACAGGGGCTGTATGGGATGACAGCAGAAATTTACCAAAGGAATGTAGTGCAACACATCAGCAACACTCTGATATAGTACAGGCAAGGGAGAGCCTCCATTCCTCTATTTATCTCCCCGTTGGCCTCAGCCACTCAGCAGGAGAATGGACAAGCCGTTAAGAAAGATCTTTGAGATCTTGTGGAAAATCCAGCCCTGGCAGCTGTTTTAAGTAGGCATCAGAAAGGTCCCTGGCCCAGTACTCCCCTGGGTCTCTTTTACTTTATTCGATTTTACAAGCATAAGATGAGATCTCATGGATACGTTTTCTGAAACACTGTATTCATTTTTATCCTTCACATGCCCAAAACATAACAAACACTCGGTTATTGTAAGGTGAGATTTTCTCCTATGTTTTACTGGACTACTCCACATTTTAGCTCATGGGCTGTACTTTCCACTTTAGACATCCTGGGTATAGGCTCTAAAATTGCTCTTTAAAGCCCAAGAAGCACCTGTTTAATGATGTTGAAATGGAGTGTGCGTTTGACAGTATATCTTATATTTCTCCAGTTCCACTGTCAAGTCCGCAATGCTCCAGTGAGGGTCAGATGCATGAAGGAGGGAGCATTCACCTCCATTGTTATGTGCGAGAAGGTGTCCCTGCCCCCAGGTTTACATGGAAAAAGATCCCTCCTGACAACCAGGTGCTGGTGACGAAACAGGAAGGTGAGAGGGGATATCTTCTGTTCTGAGTGGTCACATTTTTTTTTTTTTTTTAAGAAGTCTGGACAAATTTACCCTAAAACTACCTATTTAAATATTTTGTGTTGAAGAAAGATTGTCCTGAGTGTTAATGTAACTTGCTATTTTCCAACTATGAAACAAAGTCAGTGGGTCACATAGTAAGGACATGTTGCACAATGGCAGGCAGAAGATCAGTATAACACTTTACATAAAAAGTGGGACACTAGGTCCCTCCCGTTTAGGTAATTACCCCCAATCACAAGACACACTGGAGCCGGGAGGGCATAGGGGACTACATTCATTCTTTTTTTTAATAGCGACAGGGACACAGCACAGCTCCCATTTCTAATTTTAAATATTACAAGGGGTTACCTCCCTCCTTGTAAAATAAGACTAATTAATTAATTAAGGAACATGTCCTTCATTTCATTCATTGTTTTCTATTTGTTCATTTGTCTTTTAGAATGATTGTGTTTTTTAACTAACATTTGTAGTGAACCAGTAAGACATTACATTATGTTTAGGAGAGCAGTGAATATCAACTATTTTTTTTTTTTTTTTTTCAGATTATCATGGCTCTCTGCTTCTCACTAACGTCTCATCAGAAACATCTGGTTTATATCGATGCACAGTCAGCAATCAGTTGGGAGCACACTCCTGTGCCGTGGAACTCCATGTGGACGTTGGTGAGTACTCACATGACATAGTTGAGTCTCAGTTAGGCCTGGGGAAAAAATATAAACTAAACGACCCAAATAGACTTGATAGAAAATGATTTTGATTGAATATGTAACATTATCACAATTTCTTCCCATTCTTTGTTTTATTCCCTGTTTTCATTGATTTTATTTTAACAAACATAGCTCCAGTGGTGGCTGGTGTGAGACCCTCATCTGTTGGACTCTGACCACTCGAAGGGTTGCAGGCACCAGAACAACTTTAGGTTAATGAAGCAGTTTTGGTGTATAGTTCATGTTCATGCAGTCTCCCTGCTCAATCCTCTGCCCTCTAGGAATTAAATCAATTTTGTTTCTATTTATGCAGATTTATCCATACTTCTGCTGGCTGTGACTGGCACAGATTTAAAGGGAAAAAATGGTTTCAAATCCTACTTGCTTTAGAAGTTTTTCTCGTGCTCTGTTAATTGAATTTTAACAACAAAAGATGCTCCTGCAGCCTCTAGCAGACCATTAACAGAGCAGGAGATAAGAAATGACAAATTAACCAGACTGTGCAATAAAGGAAGTTTAAACATTAGATATTAGAAATGTTGCCAATATGCAGAGCCCTGCTAAAGAGTTCTTGCATGGGAAAAAGGACCTGTGTAATACGCAGAATGGTGTTTCCTTAAGTTGTATACCAGAGGATAAAGGAGCAAGTACTGTGCACGCATTTGGTGGCTGCAGGTGGTATTGCATGTGTGTAAAATTCGCGTTTTGTGGTGTTGTGTGCTTCTATTGACACTGGAAGTTTGTGTGCATAGGGGTTGTAGCGTGTGCATAAGAGATGGTTAGTGTGTATGTACAGGGGATCCAGTGTGTGCTTAATAGATACTTAGTGTGTATCTGTGATATACTGTGTGTCTGGAATGGTGTGTGTGCAGGTAGTGCATTGTGTATCTACAGGGGATCAAATGTGTGCATGGGGAATACATAGTGTGCATATGGGATGCACTGTCAGGAATGTTGTGTGTTTTATAGGAGCTCTAGTGTACGCATTGGGGATAAAGTGTGGTTATATGGATGGGGAGGGAGAGAGAGAGTGTGTGAGTGTGTATATGTGTATGTATGTATGTGTATGTGTGTGTATATATATATATATATATGTATGTATGTGTGTGTGTATGAGAGAGGAGCTCTTTGATAAAATATATTTAATTATAAAATTAAAATAAGTTTTATTCCTCCCTCCCTTCTTCGTACTCTTGCCTTTGGCCAGTCTGGTGGCATTGAAAGCATTGGTGGTCCAGTGGTGTTTGGTATCTCTAGATTTGCATCTTTTCCCAGTGAGTCCAAAATCCCTATGAATAGTGCTTTGGCACTATTGAGTGTTTGAGTGTTGACCCATGGAGAACACTGATCAAATACTCTGCACCCGAAGGATGTGCAGGTAAGAGATTGGCCCTTACTCTCCTCCCTTATCCTGCAGATCTATGCCTGCATGGACTGGCAGGGGAGATTGTAGTCAACCAGGCATTTGCACAATGGCCAGTCCGGGCCTGGTCACTGGGAAGGGCTGCCTAAACAAAGTGATTTAACTCCTAAATGGCATGAAATTGAGCGGAGACTATAAGCCTAAATTGCTTCATTAAGCTAAAGTTGTGTTGGCATCTATAAAATCTTTCTAATATGCTAATACCCATATTCTGTCAAAAAATATATTAGTTATTACAGTGTTACTAAGTGGCCATTGTTTTTATATATAGTTTATTTTATAAAAAATAAATTATAATAATGTATTTGTATGCTTTTGAATATAGTACCTTACCATTAACACTCCAATTCATGTACATTATATTTCTCAAAACACAAAGCCAACTGAATGGCTGGAAGAATCTTATGAGAAATGTAGTCAGCAAGAACTGCAGTGCTAAAGGTAAGACATTACTATTTTAGGTCACTACTAAACATGTTAGTTCAATATATATATGCAGGGAATTGCAGTCCTACCTGGCTGGGAAACAGTGCTTTCAGTTCCTGCCTGGATAAGATTGCAGTGGAGAGCTGTAAGCAGGTGAACGTGAGGTAGGGATTCAAAGAATGGAGCCAAGGGAGGATTAGCAGAAACAGCAAATGAGAAAGTGCAGGGATCTATTAAAAGCATGGAGCTGGGGAAGCGCTGCCAGTCTTGTCACTTTTCACAACATGCGACAGAAGCAACAGGCTTAAATGCAGCCGGCATGGAGTCAAATGGAGGAAAGTGGTGTTCGGCCATCTCAACTTCCCGCTCCTAGCCAATATCAGCCCAGGAGGCATGTTGTCTTTAAGCGCAGCATATTTAAATGCCTGAAAGAGATACATTAGGAAGAACCGGTGACTGTCAGACAGGCAATGAGGGTGATTCATACAACTCAGATTTGGGGCAAACAACCATAAATGGACTTGTTTTTTTTCTTTCTCTCATTAATACATGGTCGTAATAAGTGGAGAGGAAAACTGCAGTACTAATAATTAAATGCACAAACACACATTTGATCGGACACATTTCAAAGGTGTAAGTTTACACACACACACACACGTTTTAAAACCCCACCAGAAAAATAAGTTACGCAGCTTAATCTATTTTTTTATTGCAACGAAACTGGTAGGGTGCAGCCTCAGCTGTCACTATAGTCAGCCTCCACTCATAACTGCTTTGAACATCATTAACAACATATTAAAGGGGCACTATAGTCACCAAAACAACTACAGCTTAATGTAGTTGTTCTGGCGAGTATAATCATTCCCTTCAGGCATTTTCATGCAAACACTGCCTTTTCAGAGAAAAAAGTCAGTGTTTACATTGCCCTCTAGGGATACTTCTTGTGCCCACTCCTCAGATGGCCACTGAAGGTGCTTGCTGGGACAGTGCCGCACAGTAGGCTGCACTGCCATTTGCTGTCTTAACGCTCTGCATTGAGACGCTGTAGTTTCCTCATAGAGATGCATTGATTCAATGCATCTCTTTGAGGAGGTGCTTTTAGCCTCATCCCACCTCCTTCCCTATGGGAAAGTATTGAATTGGCTAAAAACCTTAAATTCTGATGACGTTACCAAGGAGGCAGATTGGGGGCGAGGCCAGCGCTGGCGAATTTAAGGTATGGAATTAAGATATGTTTTAATCCCTTCTATCTGGGTTAAGGGGGGAGGGGCAAGCCACCGAAATGGTGGTTTTAACACTATTGTCAGGAATACACATTTGTATTTCTGACCCTATAATGTTCCTTTAAAGAGCTACGGTAACTCCCGTTTGGATTGACTCAAGCTAGATTTTAATAACACATTTTCTAAAATGGACAGGACTTGCATGAGACAAGCTCATATATCATTGTGATGGTGCCTCAAAAATACATTAAAAAAAACAAAACATTTATTTGTAATTTGTCTGAAAACAAAATAATGCTAAGGGTCTCATTAGACAATCTGTCTTGGAAATGTATAATGGTTTGCATTAATGCTGTATTTCAGCCGACCTGGGAATTATGGGCATTGTCGTTGGTATCACAATTACTCTGGTCATGGGATTGGTGCTGTTGGCCCTCTTTGCCCTCGTGTTGTGTCTTCATCAACAAAGTCGTGGAAAGCAATGTGATCCAAATGATAAAATGCATACTCAGGTCCAGTAAGTGTGTAAAGGATATTGCTCACATGGCCATATGAACTTTTGGCAATCTTTATAGCATGTCTAATATAAAGATGCTGTAGATGAATAAGGCTTTTCTGAGCTGAAAAATTATCTGAAGGGCTATTTACCGCCTAATAAATGGATATCCTGGTGCACTGTATGTTGCCTACTCGTTAGATTGCTCTCTCAGCTGTAAAGCATAACCACACGAAGAGGCTTTTACCTCTCCTCTTGCCTAAAGCATGACATGTATCCACTTTATGATCGATAAATAAATAAAGACCAAAAAAAATAAAATAAAATACATATGTAGCAATTAGGACTGTTTAAAGGGACACTCCAGTGCCAGGAAGACAAATAGTTTTCCTGGCACTTCAGGTCCCCTCTCCCTCCCACCCCTGGTTGCTGAAGGGGTCAAAACCCCTTCAGTGACTTACCTGAGGCAGCGCCGATGTCCCTCGGCGCTGCTTCTGGGTCCGCCCACACTAAACCCTGTCACCACGTCCTCCCGCGGGGGAGACAGATGACGCCCACCGGCGGGGGAGACCGGCAGCGCATGCGCATTAGACCTCTGCATAGGAAAGCATTGAAAATGCTTTCCTATTGGGATTTTAGCGACGCTGGAGGTCCTCACACAGCGTTAGGACGTCCAGCGATGCTATAGCACAGAAAACTTGTACTAGAATCCCGAAAGTACCCTCTAGTGGTTGTCTAGTAGACAGCCACTAGAAGAGGAGTAAAGCTGACCTAAAATATTGCTTTGTTGAGCGGTTAAGCTTTTCTTTTTTTCCACAGCCAGAAGAATTTGTATTAGAATTGCCTCAAAAAATATAAATAAATAAAATTAAAAAAAATATATAATGCACTTTACAAGTAATGCCAAGCCTTCAAAGCAAGCCAGTAACCAACCTCCTGCTGATGAGTTGCATTAACGACAAAACAGCTGTCCATGAGTGGTTCACTGGCTTTGCTCCTCTTCCTGAGTTGTTTCAAAGCTGTAGTATACAGCAAACACATACTCCAAGGAATCCATGTTTTAAGTGGAATTGAGGCAAAAATGTGGTTCTTTGTTGCTCACTTGCAGATCCCAGAATCCCTTGCAGTAGTGAGAGCACTGTAAAAATTAGATTTCTGTGGGAAAAGCACATCTTATGGCTTGACTGGTGTGTTTAGCAATGTATGTGTGTGTGTGTGTGTATATATATATATATATATATATTAGATAATTTTATTTATACAGTTAGTATTCTAGAGTAAATGTACATATTTAAAGCCATTTTGAATTTGCACCGAAAATTGCTTGTTTTTTAAAAGCCACGCAAAAAATCCAGCATTTCGTTCCTTCCGTTTGCAAGGTAAAGCAGCATCACAAAGAAACATTTTATGAGATTTTATTCAAAAGTGAGAATTTAAATGCACAAAACAGAATTTCCTGCAATCCCCTTTGGCAGTCTCTGGGTTATTATTAAAAAAAATAATAAAAAAAAATCCCTATGCTCTTATCTGTTACTTAGACACTCTGGCTTGTATTCACTAACAATTCTTTATAGTAAATGAAAAAAATTCACAAAATTGGTGAATGCTTAAGAAATGCACTGTTCAGTAAATAAAACCATCTGAGATTAGTTTTTAGCAAAATAAATAAAATGTGACCAGAAAGGAAACATATCTTCAAGTTTGGCCCATATAATGCTTGATTTCCTTAACCTGGTGATTTTTAGGCAAGAATAATCTTCGTCAGAGCAGACTTCAAATTTCCAATATGTATTACACGCATCCTAAAAAAATTATTTACTTGTCTTGAGGTTCAGGGTTATATTATTGGAAGGCTGTAAGTTATGTAGACAATCTGCCTACCCATCTCTTGGATAACAAAATGTCATCTTCCTCTCTGATGTCTCATTTAACTCAAGAAAGCCTAATTAACATATTCCCACAATGCACTTGGCTCCGTTCTTGGAAGCAACAAGCATCCTATGCCTTGTGGTATGAACATATCACTACAAGTTACATATACCAGTGCTAGGTTTCGATTTAAAGAAAGTATTCTCTGTGCCACCACTAGGCCAGTTTTCCTAAAGTGCATGTTTTAAGAAATTGTTTCGGTAGATAATTTGTCTCACTACAAAAGATTTGAAGTGCAATAACTCATGACTATCTCTGTTCAGCAAATCAGGGATTTACAACCTCACATGCCCCTCTTCACAGGATGGACACTCTCTCTCCAAGAGATCTTCGTGCAACAAAGACCTCAGTCAATGACCCGATCACATCAATCAGAACTACTAAGCCATTATGGGTGTTAAGCAGCCAGGCTGGCAAGCCTCCCACACACATCCTGTATGATATTCGACAGAGCCAGGTTTCCTTAACAACAGATTACAGGCCATCTAGGAACATAGAGCAATACTCCACCACAGAGAGTGAAGAAGAGGACTCCTATAGCACGCCTGAGCCAACACCTATCCATCCTACAAATTCAGGCTTCCTGGTTTAACCAACATAATAGCACTGATTAAAGGCATTGAGTTATTCACATCATTAAAAACAGCAGTGGGAACGGATTAATATTCTTGTCAGAAGGAAAAAAAAAAAAATTTCTTCAAAAACAGTATATGTTTCTTACTTTCTTAAGTTTCAAGAAGTTTGGTTAAAAAGCAGTGACGATGTCACGGATTCACAGTATAATCAGTTTCCTGTAAAAGCTGTGATGGAACAATTCAACACACGGTCGCAAAGTTCTATGTGAAGTGTACGGATATACAGTATTGATTTATATACATTATAAGAAAATGGCTGATTCGCACACAAATCATTATAGGCTATTAAAAGGGACAGCTAATTGAAGTAGTGTGGGTGCAGTATCCCGTTTGCACGTAGTGCTGCAATGTTTACATTGCAGCTCTAAGTCTAACAGACAGCCATTAGAGGAGTTTCTGGAATCCAAACTGACTTTTGGTCCGTTATCTGATGCTGGAGGTCCTCATGGTCCTACAGCGTCAGATTTTCCCTATAGGAGAGCATTGAATAATGCTTTCCTATGGGGAGGTCTAATGCCCGCGCGGCCATTGCCACACATGCGCATTAGGTCTCCCCCACCAACTGGGAGGAGCCTGACCCAGCGGCGAGGGACATCGGCGCTGGATTCAGGTAAGTGGCTGAAAGGGTTCTAACCTCTTAAGCCCCGATGGAGCTTAAGAGGTTTGTTTTCCTGGCACTATAGGATCCCTTTTAAATTAGGTTATTAGTCAGATACTCATTAACACAGAGCGTAGGAAAGCTTGCTTAGATAAAGCGGCAATGTATTAAATTCACTCACAGCAAAAGCCTGTTTAGATAACATGCAGATGGATCCATTCACGCAATGTATATGAAGCTTGCTTCGATAAAGCAGCCATGGATTCATTCACACACCATATAGGAAGTCAGCTAAGGTAGAGAGCAGTGATGGATTAATTCACATACAGTATAGAAAACTTGTGGAGATTTAAAAAAAAAAAAAAAAAAAGTGATTTATTCAGTTGGTTGGTTCTGCTTAAAATCAATATTATAGTTTGGATTGGAATTTAAGAGCAAAAAAGAGTGTCTGCATACAGAGGCAATATAAAAAAAGGTTATGTGCAAGTGTTTTCAGCAATGGGATTTTTTTTCCAGGATAGTTTCCATTTCACAAAAAAAGCAAAACACAACCTACAATTAGAAGTGATTTTAGGTAAATAAATGTAATTTTAAATATTTTTATTCAGTTTACAAATGCTTACCATAAATTCAAGTTCGCAACACAGACACACTAAGAATCTCACTACCTTTCCTAATACTGCTTGGTAGAGGCTTGGTAGGAGATTTGCCAGAAGTTGATTTTTCTTATATTTTTGCTGCCTGGTTGAGTCTGACGGCCCTCAGCCCATGTAAGATGAGAAAAGACGTGCGCAACACAATGAAGGTACACGGGTATGCCATTGTAAATTCGGGCATTAATCTCCAGAGCACTGGTTGCAATCCTATCACTCTACCCCCCCCATATTCATAAAATCTATGAGGGTTTAATCTATTTAAACAGTCTTCGCCAACTACTTGCTTAACTATAGCCTCTTTTTTCTTATCCTAGAAACCCCTTCTGTAACAAGGAGGATTCAATGTGAATTCTATTAACATGTTCTCCCACCATATTCACCAATGTTCTATAATTGATTAAAACCATTAAAGAGATCCAGCAGAATTTCAAAACAGTCATTGTTGGGAAGGAAGCACCAAGGGGTATATTCATAAAACACAAAACTGTACAGAAATAAAATCCGAACTGAAAAAAAGTGCCGATTTGGAATTTTTTTTGCAATTTAGCCTTAATCATAGATTCACTATTTTGGCCTTACAGAGGTATTCGCAAAATCAAGAATTGTTGGGAATTCAAAGTGAATTTGAAATTGAAGGCTAAAAGACCAGAACTTGAAAAATTATCCCAATCATCTATTTTTTCAGTTTGGATACTTTGATCTTAAAGGGATACTATAGTCACCAAAACAACTTTAGCTTATTTAAGCAGATGTAGTGTATAGATCATGCCTCTAAAGTCTCACTGTTCAATTCACTGCCATTTAAGAGTAAAATTACTTTTATTTCTGTTTATTCAGCCCTAGCCACACCTCCCCTGAATTGACACAGCCTGCATGAAAACAAAATGGTTTAATTTTCAATCAGATGTAACTTACTTTAACCCCTTAAGGACCAAACTTCTGGAAAAAAAGGGAATCATTACGTCACACATGTCATGTGTCCTTAAGGGGTTCAAAGTTATCGCCAGCTCTATAAATTGAACTCTAATTACATTCAGGAGGTTCCTGCAGAGTCAAGAAAGCTATTAACAGAGTAAGAGATACGAAAATTAAACAGAATTTGCAATAAAGGAAGTGTAAATATTAGATTACTTTTTACAGGAATTGTTTATGAAGGCTCTGAAAGTACCATGCAAAGAGGTGTGCCTAGGGCCCCATAAATAAAGTGATTAAATTACTAAATGACAGATAACTGAGCAGTGAGACGGCAGAAGCATGACCTATAGACAAAGTTAAAATGTTAAAGTTGTTTTTTGGGACTATAGTGCCCCTTTAACTTTGAATTCCCAGTCATCTTGCCATTCTGATTTTAATTCGTTACAGTTAGGAATTTAGTGAATAAGAAAATAATTTGCTAGACTAAATCAGTAAGGGTTCCACAATTAATAAGGGAGCACACAAATAAAACAAACCAAAAATGACTTGTTTTTTCACATCATTTAAACAAAGAAAACCCGATTTTGTTTTCATTGTAAATGGAGACAGCAGAGAGGAAGAAGGTGGCCACCCTGATTTCAGATTCACCCAAAACGTAACTTAAGTTCAATTAAGTGCAATATATACAAGTGCCTTATATATTGAAACCATTGCACTAAAGACTGCTTTTAAAGCAATTCTTTTAGAGAGGACAATTTACACTGGAGCAAAGAAACCATGCAAAACAGTGCACAATGAATCCAACTTCATACTTAAAGGCAGACCACATTTTTCAGATGTGAAACGTAATATCAAAAGGGGTTATACTGATATTTGGATGCCAGAATGCCAAAGCACTTACCCTTGATAATAAAACACACAAGCAAAAATAAAAATGTAAAATATGTACCCATGAAACTATGATGAACAACAGTCTTTGCTAAATTGGAAGACCCAAAAAACAGCCCAATAATGGTTATGGTCGCAGCATTTTTATCACAACCGGACATATGCTCCAAAAAAAAAAAAAAAAAAGAAGGTAGCATAATAGAAACGGTTATCACTGCTGACCAATGCCAGCCTTTAGACCTGCCCAGGCTTTAGGTAGTAAATAGAGTGAAAATTATGCAGTTACTGTACATGACATTTAAACCTAAAACAAACTAAAATAGGCATTCATTCCAACAGAAGGAGGAGCAATCACATCAACACGTAAAAAAAAAAAAAAATGGAGAAATATACATTTTCTACAAATCCTTGTAAAAAGGACCAAATATCACCTCCCAGAATCCAGGCTAGAGAAGTTGTCCTCAGCTCAGGGAAAAAGACACCCTTTTCTTGACTTATTGCTGACGAGAATATTTACATTGTTATAGAAACACAGATCAGTATCGGAGTTCATCTGGGTATCCAAAAACAAAAGAAGTCAGCTAAGAAATGGGGAACAGGAGGGGAGCACAAATCGGATAAAGTCACAGAAGAGCCAGGAATATAGCTTGGTCCTTTGCTGTAAGAGCTGAGTAAAGTAAGCCTCCCCCTGCCCCAGAATCTGCTCCTCCGCTCAGCGGCTGTCATTCTTAATTATGATCTCTACTCCGTGATGACGTAGCTGTGCACGCAGAATAAGGTTCTTGTTTTTCAGATCTTCAACCTAATGAAAAGAATTAAAAATAATTTGTATAAAGAGTGCACAATGCGAATGCTTCTCGAAAAGAAATGAATACAAAATACACAATATAGCGCACTCACTTATTCACTAAACACTGACTTCAAATCTAACAGATTGTAATAGTTTTAGAGGGAGAAGGAGAGGGGGAGGGAGAGAGAGAGAACCCACATTTTAAATATGTCTATACAGGGTTAAAAATTAGACAAACCTGAACATTACTTGCCATTGCAAGCCTGCAGGGGCCATGGAACACCCACTCTGATTATAAATCTAAACAATGATATATTAAAACTCTATCCAAACCAATAGTTAACTATTAATTATTAGGTAGGTTCAGGACATCAAGTGTTAATGGGAAAAGTAACTCCGTATTAACCAGCAGTTATGTTCTTCACTGCAGTGGTTTTTGAACATTTATGCAGTTAAAAAAAAAACCCCACAACTGTGTTTAATGCAAATATTTATAGGGATAATTCATTTTTTAAAGTCTAGGTAGACTGGGTTTCACCAACCACTGCAATAATAAAGAATTCAGGGAATTTTTCATTGCTTTAAAAGGAACCAAAGGAAAAGGAAGGTGAGGCGTCATGAACCAGCATCCTGCCCAACACATATAACAGATATGCCTAACCCAAAGTCACATGTACATTGAGCTAACAACCCAAGCCTATCTGCAGAGTAGGACCAGCATGCCAACTGACCTGTTGCCTCAGCACCTCGTTGTCCATCTGCAGTTGGTCCAGATTCTGTAATTCCTCAGAGAGGCGGTGGTTGCTTTGGCGCAGTTCTTGTATGTAATCACATGCTTTGGATAGGATGCCACCCTTACTCTAAGTAAAACAAATAATTCATTAGTCACTCAACTCTTCCAATTATCACCTTTCTAGTAACCAGTGACAAGGACAAACTGACAGCATTGTCTGGGCCACAAGAGCAAAATTAGTATCAGAGATTCTTGATGGCTAATATTTTTGAATGAAGGAAATTTTATAACCAACTTTTATGTAAACGTGAATTTGTGATCATGTAGTGCAAAGAGGTGTGTGAAAGCATGAATTTATGTGTAAGCATTTTCCCAGGTAGCCCATAGATAAAAAAAAAAAAAAACTGAAACTCACAGCCTGCTTTTTTAAAATCCCCAAGTGGTCAGTCCTCAGCTATCAGAGCATGTATATCATAAAATAACCTGGTGCTGTATGTACCAGCTACCAGAGAAGGCTGTAAGGCACATAGTCCAATACATTTTTTATTGTCTCTTCAGATCCATGGTGCAACTGTTAACCCTTCCTTACGAGCTGGCTAATTTGTCACCTTTACACTGCTGTTTTTGCCACTCACATCTAGTCAATCTCCAAATTCTGCAACTCTTCACATCGTGCTATCTCACACTAGATGCAGACGATGGGCTTCTGCATGTATGAAAACCTGCCTCAATTACAGCAAACAAATCTTCTGTCTCATATGTTACTAACTTACCGTCTTACAGTATAGTGAATGTTGTTAAATTTGGTTTTTATTTGTTTACCGTTCAAAGTTTAGTAGAGTTAGAACACATTACGCCATGTAAAAACAAACACAGAAACAAACATTTAACAGTGTCGAACATATGCCTAAACTAACAGGAAAGCGGTCTACATTACACTAAAGCAGAGTTTAGGTAGGTGAGAGAAATTCGTGTACTGGAATGCTAGTGAAACGTATAGCACGGTTTGGCCATATAAAAAATAAACTAGTAAAGCACGGCGATGTAAGTGAGGAAGAATAAACTGAGTGATAAAGGAGAACCATTCACATCCTTAAATATAGGCATAATTTGCCATTACCACTTTATTTAGCACAATGAAACTATAGCTGGTTCGGAACTAAAAAAATGAACACACATCATTGCATTAGGTAATCGGGTGCATAAGTATGGTACAGTAAGGTACCAAGGATTATTATCATTTTAAACAAACATTGGCAGATTATGCTAACCATAATGATGAAAAATATAATATTGAGTCCCTTCAGAGAGTATAGTGAATGTAGCACCTCATACCATTGTCACGTCTTGCACTGGAATCATTAATGTTAAGATTTATAGTTAAATCCTGGTTCTCTCTTAAATTTTTTTCCAAACAACCTCAAGCTACGCAAGTTCTCTAATTAGCAAGTATTACCCAATCAAAGCACTTTTCCTAGTTCACAGACTTTAAAAATGTAAAAAATAAAAAAAATTTAACAGTCACAGAATCTACTTTCTTACAGATTAAGTGACCAATTTATAAAACTTCTCTAACTGGATATCTTCCCGTTCGCACACATTTTGGCCCCCACTTGAATCATTACAATCCATCTCCCCTTCTCAACCATGAAATCTACTGCCATTCTCCTTGTCTCCTGCTACTTAAACTGACATTAATTTAAACCTGATAAACAGGATTTCTAGCGCTAATTAAAAATAAAATAAAGATAGGCAGCTAGAACTACAGGAGCCAGAGTCTCTTCTTTCTGGTTGTTGGTATGGTGTAGGATAGTGATGCAGTAGCAGCGCCTTTTGCTAGTACTTGGGTCCGAGTGACAGTCAGTGAATATTCAAAATAAAAAGAGGAATATCATACAGTGTTGTATTTTCTAGTGATAGGTGAAAGGAATATAAAAAAGCATTTACAATTTGTTGGAGCTTCCAACCAGCTCCAAGTATTTTGCGGATTATACTGCCAAAGTGCAAAATACTTGGAGCTAGTTGGAAGCTCCAACAAATTGTCAACATCGCGAGAAAATACTGCTAAGGCACTATTCATGCACTTATTCCTCACCTTGACTACTGCAACTCACTACTCATCGACCTTCCAAATACCCACAAGGCCCCCCTTCAATCTGCAATGCTGCGGCTAGGCTCATCTTCCTGACGGACAGCTACTCCCACGCCTCACCCCTTTGCCTATCATTTCTTCTATTTCCCTTTGCTCTTCGAAAAACCTTATCCAGACATCGGCTTGTTCCCGCACTGCCAACTCTAGTGCACAGGATTTTTAAAGGGTTGCCCCGTTCCTTTGGAATTCCCTACTCCATGCCATGAAACTCAGCCCTAGCCATTAGTCCTTTAAGAAGTCACTGAAAGCACATCTATTTAGGAAAACTTACCATCTTCCTGGGTGACCCTAATCTCATTACAATTGACATCCTCAGTTCCCTCGCCTTCGTAGCCTAACTTACTCTCTCTCATTCCACTGGTTGCTTGCTAGGGCATCTTATCTACCAGTGACCCCTCCCCACTGACATGCTGCTATTTCTTGTGTGTCGGCAATCCTTCCGCTTAGATTATAAGCTTGATTGAGCAGGGCCTTCTTCTTACTTGTTTAATTTTTCTATGTCATTTACTTGTCAAATATCCCCTTTCTGCAACAAAAATATGCCAGCGCCAATAATAGCCACAAAGACACCAATTCTTAAGGACATCCTATCAGCGTACATTTGAATTATTCTAAAGCATAAATGAAAGTCAAGAGTTTGCAAATTTTACCCTTCGGCTCACTCACTGTGCCTGTGTACGGATTTTGCAGATCCTATGCTCCAGTATGCATTGCAAAGCACACTGACTATACCTGCCTTTAGCAATATAAATTTCACACTCCAGAATCGTATATTTACCTGTCCAGATTTAGTGTTTTCCATTGAGCAATCAGGGATAATTTTTGAAAGTTGCACAATCCAGTTATTAATTTTGTCCCGACGTCGACGTTCCACTGAGGAGCAGAGAGTTAAGAGGAGCTATTTTAAAGGCATATTCTATAATTTATTGAAGGCAGATACAGTACACTATACAGTGGCTTCCTGCAGACAGATACAGGAGCACAGCTTTAAAATACAAAGGAAAAGTTAAAGCGCACACGGATGTGTGATCTAGTTTTTGGGCACCACTATATCCCAATATTTTATAACTTTTCAAAGAGCACAAGCTTTGCTCCTATATTAAATTGGTCACACATTACATTGCTGAATATACACAGATTAGGAATAAAATCTATTGGTATTTCAGCAATGGCTGTTTAGAAATGTCACAATGCTCCTCATAGTCTCTCCAAACACTTCATAAATTAATTTAATGTGTTGTAGTGGTTATGCTACCCAGGGTCCCTGGTGTCTTTCCGACGATGAAGGAGGGCCCACATCTTGCCTATGTTCATTATGCAAAATTAACACTGTGGCGTTATTAGTGGATGGTAGTGGATGCATGGAATAGCCTTCCAGCTGAAGTGGTAGAGGTTAACACAGTGAAGGAGTTTAAGCATGCGTGGGATAGGCATAAGGCTATCCTATCTCTAAGATTAGGCCAGGGACTAATGAAAGCATTTAAAAAAAATTGGGCAGACTAGATGGGTCAAATGGTTCTTATCAGTCATCACATTCTATGTTTCTAAGTTCATCCACCCTGGATGACAGTGTCTATTTTGTCTAGTGCTCTCAGCCAAAGATATTTTGGAAATGTTAATTCTGCAATATCAATGTTGCTGGAATTTTGTCAATCTAGTTATTCATAGACTAGTATAGTAATATGAGAGGCCTGCCACACAAGATTTTTTTCAAGATGAAAGAAACATCACAATATGGGCATTTTTACATACCTTCATTGTGCTGCGCACGCCTTTTCTCATCTCTTGTAGTGCGAGGGCCGTCAGACTTACTGTAAGAAAAACTGAAAAAAGTTAACATAGTGCCCTTCATTCTAAGATCACCTCACCAGTTTCAGTTTGCAGATTACCAAGGCATTTACTATAAAGATAAGTTCAGAGAACAAATCCATTAAACCCATATAAAATAAAATATGTGAATAATCAATATGGGTGAAAACTGGGCGAGTAAGGTGTATCTTGGTAGATGTGGGGCATGCTTTTGGTTTCTATTCACTGATACATGTATGTTGTATCATGCTATTGGAATTTATTGATGGATAAAACTACAATTTATTGTAATAGATGGAATCTAGAGTGTAGGGGAAAATAACTAGACACTGGTGAGAATGCTCACGGTGAGTAGGGGTTGGCTCTTGGAGCAATAGACCTTTGTGATCCGCCTTGGAGAACCTCTTGCGGTGACATCATCACAAAAAATTGACCTGTCAAAGAGAAGAAGAGGAGTTAGAAAGAAGAAATAATAGAGAGAATGAAATTATCTAACATAAGAACAGCTCATGATAAATAGGCTTTTAACAAATGTAATTTTAGATAGAAGGATTTCTCACCTGCACCTGTGGATGTAGCCTGTCCCAGGAGAGCCTCGCTGTTCTGTGTGGTCACCACAGTGGTGGCGGTAGCTCCAGCTCCCACGGAGGTGCTGGCGTCCGCCACAGTAGTAGGAAAATATGTATAGTGAGTTTCTGCACCCGATGCATCTGTTTCACCCGCATCCTCACTGGTGAAAGCACCTTGAATAACAGCCTAACAGGGAAACAACAGCTGGGCTTACTCAGCACTTGCTTTACAATCTACACACATATTTGTATACATACATGCGCGCGCGCGCACACACACACACAGTTACTGCGGTATCCCAACTAATTACACGTCAATCACATAACTGATTGACTTAATGGACAGAAAGTCTAACTCACCTGGGTCATGGACTGGGTGGCAGGGAATCCACTGATGGCACCTGTGCCCTCAGTTTGCCCATCAAGCTGACCCTCTGCTACTTGTATTACACGATACATTACCTAATAAAAACATAACAGACAATGCATATAAGCTGAAAAAAAATGTCCAAACAAATAAAAGAAAATCAGGAGGCAATTAAAAAGTAAATACAAAAAACAAACAGTTGCTAAGACATATAACCAATATATCTCCAATTGTGCTCCTTTGTATAAAATATATCAGAGCTAAAACTGTAAGTGAGCTATTGCATTCTACTGATGTTCTTTACTGATTTTGTGATCAATACTTTACAGCCTGGAAAGCGCCATCAGTTATTGACCACTCAACCTTTTTAAGTGGGTCTACACATCTAAAATGTATGAACAGTAGAGAGATAAATGTACGTGCTCTCCCATAAATCTACTATGGCTGTCCTGGAGACACACTGGCTGTTAGCTACAGTATAGTGTTTTACAATCTCCCTGCACAATTGGGAGGGAAGTTGACCGATAGATGTCAGTTCTCTCTGCGGACCTGTAAAAAGTCACTGCTCAAAAAAATGACTTTCACCTACTTCAAATCCTTAATGTGTAGGTAAAAAAAAAAATATATATAGTGTCACCAGGCTCTGCAGTACAGACTGCCTGCTGAAAGTGAGGAGAGGTAGCTGGAGGAGCCTTATAAATATAACTCACCTCACCAAAACACATGCAGCTATTCTATCTACACTGATTAAACTGCTGCATGCAAGCAGCTGGGATGGTCCACTTCCTCCACTATAAATTTATGCTGCGCTTCTACAGTTTGTCTCTTTCCTATGCAAAATTAAACAACTTAAACACCCTCGTAGGCACACGGTCCTGGCCAACCCAAATGACTATTTTACATTTTTAATGCTCTTCTTCGCGTTGTTGCTCCCCCTCCTCCTACCACCTTGTCAGCCACAACTTTGCAACTCACTTCACTGAGAAGATTTCTACAATCAGGGAAGAGATCTCTCTCCCTCCCCTACCCCACTCCTTCCGCTGTTCTTTGCTCATTCGCACCACCTACAGCTGAAGAGTTTTCCGCTCTGCTCCGGTCAATTCAATCCTAATCCATCATATCTCATCTGCACTCTGTCTCCCTCTCACTAAAATGTTCAAATCTCTCCATTTCGTCTGGAACATTTTCTTGACCCCTCAAACATGCAACTGTAACCCCTATTCTGAAAAAATCCAACCTTGACCCCAACTCCCCGTCAAACTACCGCTCTCTCTCGCTGCCATATGTCTCCACAATCCTTGAGAGAGTTGTGTATGCGAGATTGACAGAGTTGCTCAAATAAAACTCTGCTTGACCCATGACAGTCAGGATTCCTCCTTAGTCACTGTCAAAACGGCTGTGACCAAAGTATCCAACAATTTAAATTGCTGCTAAATCTCGTTCCCATTACTCTATCCTAATTCTCATTGATCTTTCTACTGCCTTTGACCCTGTTGATCATTAACAGCTTCGTCTCATTCTCCATAATCTTGGTCTACGAGATACTGCTCTCTCCTGGTGCTCCTCCTACTTCGCCCAGAGCTCTTTCAGTGTTTCTTTCTTTAGACAGACATCTAAATTAGGGATCCCAAACTCCCTTTACCCCCATGAAGTTTATGGCCTATAGCTACCAGAATTCTGTGCATGCAACAGACAAACAGAGAATTATGAGAACGGTAAATCAGCATAGATGGGGCAGAGTTTGATCTATATTCAAGCTAATTTGGAAGATGTATTGCAATATCATCCAGACTCAAGGTATGAATTCACTTTATTCCCAGAAATGGCAAAGCACTAAATTCACTGACTGAAAAAGTGTGATCAAAAAAGATGTACAAGTAAAGCAGTAATTATCCCTCACATACATTTTTGGGGTAGTATTTCCCTTTATGTAGGCATTTTGGAATAAATATTTGATACGTTATGTACAGCATTAAAGGATTTAGTACCTGTGCTCCACCGTTCTCTGTGCGGAAGACATATTTTACTCCAGGATCAGAGAATGTGGCTGCGGACTGGATGCTGGCAATTGCTACGCTTGTTGGATCTTCTCCAGTTGCTACTGCACCTTATGGGAATTAAAATCAGTTAATAGAAGAAAAGGAAAAACAGGTTTCTCTCCCACTTCCTAACAAAAATGTAGCTTTCTGTTCTAGATCTCTAATGCCCAGTCCAAGACTTAAAAAGCCACAGATATGCACACGGCAAGTGTCTGACTTTGATCACATGATGACTTGTCTAAATCCTCCTTCTGTGCCAAGACTGCCTCAAGGGCAGTAAGAATTCACTATATTTACACAAACACATGTAGGATCATTGTAGAGACCCAAGGAAAGACAAGTACTCACCTTCCTGTACTCTGATATTTCCGTCTTCAATTTCTGCCGCTTTCTGCTGTCTGGAAGATATTCATAAGCTAGGTTTATTAAAAAGGATGATGCAACCTACAAACAACACATATGATCCCACAAATCTTCTAAAACTCAATAGCACCATTAAAGGGACACTATAGTCACCAGAACAACTACAGCTTAATGTAGTTGTTCTTGTAAGTATAATAGCTCCCTTAAGGCATTTTTATGCAAACATTGTCTCTAGGGACACCTCCAAGTGGCCACTCTTCAGATGGCCACAGGAGGGGCTTCCTGGCTCAGGGCTGCACAGGTAGGCAGCCCTGCCATTCAGCAACACCACGCTCTGCATGGGGAGATTGAATTTTCCTCATAGAGATGCACTGATTCAATGCATCTCTATGAGGTGGTGCTGTTTGGCCCCGCCCCCTTGCCGATTTTAGCCAATCCAACGCGTTCATCATGGCTAAAAATTAGCAACTTTTATGATGTCACCAAGAAGGTGAGGCCAGCGCTGGCAGACCTGTGGAGAGCTGAAAATAAGGTGGAGAGGGTGGGGGGGAAGCCACCTAAATGGTGGGTTTTCACTATAGGGTCAGGAATACATGGTTTGTGTTCCTCACCTATAGTGATCCTTTAAAGCAGCTCTGTCATCTACTTGGGTCTATGCATATTTTGCAAAGATCACAGATAGTGACTGCTCCACTTGCCGTGAGGTGGACATGAAGTGCTGAGAATGGTAAGTTTTACTTATCTGCATCAGTTCCTCGCGACTGCCACCATCTTCTGCGAGGTCCTCTTTAGCTTTGTTTGCCACGCGTCAACATTAGTACTGTACTCTTGCGCACGCATGAGCATACAACACTGATGTCTATTGAAGATAATGACTGAGGACTTGACAGTGGTAGCTCTGCCTTTTTGCCAAGCGTATTAAAAATACGTAAGACAATGTAGTCCCTACTTTAAATCTTTTGACTGGATTGGAATTTCAGTTGAATTCCAACAAAGTCTTTATGGTCATTTAATAAACATTAATTTAGTGTAAAGTATTAGACATGTGCAAACACATCTTTTAAAAAACTGACTCCTGCATAACAGATTCTTTGTAATCTGAATATTATTGTTATGTGAAGGGCTACTTAACAGAGATTGCAAAAATATTTAATAGTGCAGGTTGACAGAATAAAGCTCAGAGAACTCACTCTAACCTGGCATTCCCCTCTATCCCTCTGGAAAACATAGAACGTGAAGGATGATAGATAGGGTATAGACACATACAGAAATTCTGTACAGCTAAGTTGGAACAGTATGACACAAATAAATACAGAGGGGTAGGTGCAGTGCTTCAGTAATCCTTGACATGGTATATGTGAAGAGAACCAGAGAAAGAATAATAGTGTAGTGTAGTACTATGTACTTTTTACCTACCCTTGCTTCATAGCTCTACATACTTCACCATATACGATTTTTATTTTATTTTATTTTTTTTTATGAGGATACCCCCTACCACACCTATAACTTGAAAAACTGCCTCTGCACTTGATCTATAGACGGGGATTATTCCGCCCAGGCGCATACACTGGAGCTGTATTGAAGCTCCAGGAAAGTGTGAGTGCACATCTTTTATTTTACTTATCACCACTACAGTTTTAAATACTACACTATTATTCCTTCTCTGGTTCTCTTCACGTTTACCTTGTTAAGGATTACTGAGGTGCTGCACCTACCCCCCTGTTTTTATCCAATTTTCTGATCGGAAAAGAGAGACTCCGTATTTGTGTTCCAGCTGCTTTTGGACTATTATCACTTTGCTTCCGCGCTGAATTTATTTTTGTGTGATTGTACATAAATAAATACGTTTTATTCAGCTAGAATGCATATATATATATATATATATATATATATATATATATATATATATATATATATATATATATATATTATTAAAAACAGAATTTGTGTCAGCATGTTGAGTCCCTTTAAAACAAATCAAATAGAGATGAGAAGAAAAAAAAAATGGGGATAAGAGAATAAATCAGTAAAGAGCAAGTGAAAGTAAAGGAATGAAAGGTAGATGAAAAAAAACGCAATCCAAATACCCAATACATTGGGGAATGTGTGATGTGCACAGTAGCCAGGAAAACAGCAACAAACTTGTAACAACTTCTATGACAAAAGAATACGCTGTGACCCAAGACAGATAGAGGCAGCAGTAAAAATAGGAAAAGAAAGGGGAAAAAAAATAAATAAAAAAAAATTATTCTCATGTTTCTTATTACTGATCTTACTAACTAATCACAAGTACTTTCTACAAGCTTATATAGTAGCACCTGGAGGGGCTCTTTAAAGTGCGAAGCCATGAAACTCACCCCTTCATTTCTCCTGAGTTTCAAACATCAGAAGAGATCTTCTGAGCTGCCGGCTATGTTCTGGAAAACAAACACTGCTTGAATAAAGCAACAATTGTATGTATGTATATATAAATTTTTTTAAAAGGGACACAATAGGAACCGTAATTACTAAAACGTTATGATGTGGATATGGTAGAAGGAACCTGTGTGCTGTCTTCTGGATTTTGTCTGACCATTTTAAGTATAAAAACAAAAATAAAAACACACACAGGCTCTTCTGGAACCCAAAGCTCAGCCTCTGTATAAATCGGATCACAGTTATATATATATAAAAAAAAAAAATGCACTCAAAGAAAGCTGCAGCTGTTATTGTGCCCCATAAAATAAAAAGTATGCCTTGCAGGAAAACGTATCAGTCAAGAGCTCAGAAAATTGTGCACAAGTTACAAACCAAGGAGACCTATTTAGGAGTAAAAATAAAGTTAGGGACACATTCAAATATATAAAATATGGGTAATTATTACATTGATAAATTTGTAGCAATTTATATAGCACATGTTCGCATATGTAGCAAAATCAACAGTTCACAGACAAAGCTTAAAAGGGACACTATAGTCACCAGAACAACTACAGCTTATTGAATTTGTTCTGGTCAGTAGACTCATTACCTTCAGGCTTTTTGCTGTAAACACTGTCTTTTCAGAGAAAATGCAGTGTTTACATTACAGCCTAGTGATAACTTCACTAGCTACTCCTCAGATAGCTGTTAGAGATCCTTCCTGGGTCATGGCTGCCTAAAATGCATCCAAACATTCAGTATCTCCTCCCTCTGCATGCAGACACTGAACTTTCCTCATAGAGATTCATTGATTCAATTCACTGATTGGCCAGGGCTATGTTTGAATCATGCTGGCTCTGCCCGTGATCTGCCTCTTTGTCAGTCTCAGCCAATCCTATGGGGAAGCACTTCTGATGATGTCAGTAAACTGCTTGGTTTTTTTGAGACAAACTGCATGCAGATCTACAGCTTCTGGCTTGAATACATTAAAGGAACACTGTAGGCACCCAGACCACTTCTGCCCATTGGAGTTGTCTGGGTGCCAACTCCCACTACTCTTAACCCTGCAAGTGTAATTATTGCAGTTTTTTTATAAACTGCAATAATTACCTTGCAGGGTTAACTCCACCTCTAGTGGCTGTCTACTAGACAGCCACTAGAGGGCACTTCCTGCATCATAGCACAGAAAACCTGTGCTAGAGCGTCGCTGGACGTCCTCACGCTGTGGATCAGTCTCGCCCACCGGCTGACGTAATACAGAGGAGGAGCGGTGGCATAAGTTACTGAAGGGGTTTTCACCCCTTCAGCAACCGGGGATTTGGAGGTAGGAGGGAGAGGCGGCCTGCAGTGCACTGGAGTTTCCCTTTACGATATTGCTATATTTATGGAGGCATGAGGGGCCCAGGGGGGCTAAATGGTGGTTTTAACACTATAGGGTCAGGAATACATGTTTGTGTTCCTGACCCTATAGTGATCCTTTAATCATTTATATTATTAAAGGACGACTATAGTACCAGTAAAACAAACGTTTTCCTGGCACTATATAGTCCTTAGGTCCCCCCCACCCTCAGGGCTGCCCTCCCGCGGGGCTGGAGGGGTTAAAACCCCATTCAGCCACTTATCTTAATCCAGCACCAGGCTCCCTTGACGCTGGTGAGCTTTCCTCCCCCTTCGACATCATCTCCCAAATGGAGTCGAATGCGCATGCACGCCAAGAACCGCGCATTCAAACCGCCCACAGGAATGCATTACTCAATGCTTTCCTATGGACGTTCTGCGTATTTAATGCGATTTTCGCATTGAGTGTCGCGGAAGCTACTCTAGCGGCAGTCAGGAAAACAGCCACTAGAGGCTGGATTAACCCTGCAATGTAAACATAGTTTCAATACTGCATGGGGGGAGAATAACGAAAGGGCCAGTTGCAATGCCAAGTGGGGGGAGTAACGAGGGGGCCAGATGCAATGCCGCATGGGAGGAGTAACGAGGGGGCCAGTTGCAATACTGCGTGGGGGGAGTAATGAGCGGGCCAGTTGCAATGTGGCTGGGAAAGTAACAAATGTATTGCTGGAATGTTGCAGGGGAATGATGAGGAGGCCGCTTACAATGTTGCAGAGGAGTAAATAGAAGCTGTTAATATAATGCATGGTTGTAATAAGGAGGCAGTTACCATATTGCAGGAGAGTATTAAGAAGCTGTGACATTAGTGCACTAATATAACAAAGAGGCAGATACAAGGTTTGCAGGGAAGTAATATGGAGGGATAGCGCAGAGGAGTAATAACAATAAGACGTTTATAATATCTCAGAGGAATAATGAAGGCAGTTACTGTGATACAAGCTATATGATATGATATAATATGATACAGGCTATATGATATGATATATGATACAGGCTATATATATATATTATATGATACAGGCTATATATATATATATTATATGATACAGGCTATATGATATGATACAGGCTATATGATATGATACAGGCTATATGATATGATATGATATAATATGATACAGGCTATATATGAAATGATATGATACAGGCTTTATATGATATGATATGATACAGGCTTTATATGATATGATATGATACAGGCTTTATATGATATGATATGATACAGGCTTTATATGATATGATATGATACAGGCTTTATATGATATGATATGATACAGGCTTTATATGATATGATATGATACAGGCTTTATATGATATGATACAGGCTTTATATGATATGATACAGGCTTTATATGATATGATATGATACAGGCTTTATATGATACAGGCTTTATATGATGCAGGCTTTATATATGATATTATATATTATATGCCATTTATATAGCGCCAACAGATTCCGTAGCGCTTATATTATATTTTGAGAGGGGGGATGTAACAATAAATAGGACAATTACAAGAAAACTTACAGGAACAATAGGTTGAAGAGGACCCTGCTCAAACGAGCTTACAGACTACAGGAGGTGGGGTATTAGAAACATTAGGATATGATAGGATACAGGCTATATATGATAGGATACAGGCTATATATATATGATATGATACAGGCTATATATATTATATGATACAGGCTATATATGATATGATACAGGCTATATATGATATGATAGGGGCTATATATGATATGATATGATATAATATGATACAGGCTATATGATATGATATAGGCTATATATGAAATGATATGATGCAGGCTTTATATGATATGATATGATACAGGCTTTATATGATATGATTCAGGCTTTATATGATATGATTCAGGCTTTATATGATATGATTCAGGCTTTATATGATATGATATGATACAGGCTTTATATGATATGATATGATACAGGCTTTATATGATATGATATGATACAGGCTTTATATGATGCAGGCTATATATGATATGATGCAGGCTATATATGATATTATTATTATTGCCATTTATATAGCGCCAACAGATTCCGTAGCGCTTATATTATATTTTGAGAGGGGGGATGTAACAATAAATAGGACAATTACAAGAAAACTTACAGGAACAATAGGTTGAAGAGGACCCTGCTCAAACGAGCTTACAGACTACAGGAGGTGGGGTATTAGAAACATTAGGATATGATAGGATCCAGGCTATATATGATAGGATACAGGCTATATATGATCCAGGCTATATATGATAGGATCCAGGCTATATATGATAGGATCCAGGCTATATATGATAGGATCCAGGCTATATATGATAGGATCCAGGCTATATATGATAGGATCCAGGCTATATATGATAGGATACAGGCTATATATGATAGGATACAGGCTATATATGATATGAGACAGGCTATATATGATATGAGACAGGCTATATATGATACAGGCTATATATGATAGGATACAGGCTATATATGATCCAGGCTATATATGATCCAGGCTATATATATGATAGGATACAGGCTATATATGATACAGGCTATATATGATATGAGACAGGCTATATATGAGACAGGCTATATATGATACAGGCTATATATGATACAGGCTATATATGATATGAGACAGGCTATATATGATACAGGCTATATAGGATATGATCCAGGCTATATATGATCCAGGCTATATATGATCCAGGCTATATATGATCCAGGCTATATAGGATATGATACAGGCTATATATGATATGAGACAGGCTATATATGATATGATCCAGGCTATATATGATCCAGGCTATATATGATATGATACAGGCTATATATGATAGGATCCAGGCTATATAGGATACAGGCTATATATGATAAAGGCTATATATGATACAAGCAGCACTAAGGAGACCCAGATTTGCAGCGAGTCCCAGAGTGACGGATAAAACCCTGCAGGGGGCAATGAGCGAGCAGTCACCCTATTGTGGGCTGAACCCCCAGTGAGGCAGGCTAATCGGGCCGGAGCTGGGCCTCCTCTGTCTAACAAAGGCCTGGCTCCAATCACCGCGCTCCCCGGTAACCGGGCACATGCCGCTCACCCCGGAATAACACGGGCTCTCACGGGACCAGGACAACCAGCACATAAATGTATTTATCGCCTCACCTGCCTCGATGCTCTAAGTCCTGATCCAACGAGCCATGGAGAATCGAGCATGCGCAGTGCTACCCCACTTCCGCCATCTTTACTCCGGCGCAAAGTAGGATTTACTACGTGTACCGCCATCTTTACTCCTGGCGGAAATTCGCGATCCCCCTAGCGGCCATTTTTCTTGGGCGGAAACTGAAAACACGCAATATCCGGTGTAAGCTCAGTATTATTGAGCCATGAGGGAGGGAGGGGGTGGTTTGGGATGTGTGTGTGTTTGTGTACTATTTCCCCATACATATATTATGCATTATACAGACTCAAGGTCATTTACTATGAATGAATGTAGAGAAGATTATCAGCTAAACTCCCAACAGTAAACTGAATTCAGACCTAAATACTGATCAATGTGAGAGGGTGTAACACCCATAACCTCTGATGGTGTTAGAGAAGGACTAGGGGGGAGTAGTAATTAGGTGAAAAGTGTAGTTAATTAAAAATAAAATAAAAAAAATTCCATTATACCTATTTTAGTAAAAATTTTAAATGCATTTTTTTGGCGTTTTCACAAAAAGCAAAAATGTGTTTTAGATGGTTCATCTGAGTAAAAGTCCTGTTCGTCATTCCCAAAACAAATTGTTTCTGATCAGCCTTATCTGTGTTTTCCATGGGTGAAATGATTCTGAATGGATTTGATCGACAATTTACAGGAATTGCATTCGTACAGTCCTTCTCCAACAAACATTTACACAAGTCTATTGTATACCTAATAGTTGAGAATTGAAATCTGAGAATCTTACTTTGTCTAAATGCCACCATTTTTTTTTTTTTTTTTTATTTGGTTAAAGGGACACTGTAGGCACCCAGACCACTTTAGCTCATTAAAATAGTCTGGGTGCTCTGTCCCTTTTGCACCTAGTGCTGCAATGTAAAACATTGCAGTTCTAGAGAACTGCAATGGTTACATTGCAGCTCTAAGTCTGCCCTCAGTGGCTGTCTACCAGACAGCAACGGAGCTTCTGGAATCCAAACAGACTTTTTGGTCCGTTATCTGTTGCTGGACGTCCTCACGCTCTGTATAAGGACCTCCATCGTCATATTTTCCCCATATAATGCTTTCCTGTGGGGAGGTCTAATGCGCGCACGCAGCCACTGCCAAGTATGCGCATTAGGTCATAGAAGCGTGGGCGAAGCATGACACAGCACCGAGGGACATCGGTGATGGATTCAGGTAAGTAGCTAAATGAGTTTAAACCCCTTCAGCCCCGCGGGAGGGAGAGGGGGACCTATTAACCCTATAGTGCCAGGAAAACTGCTTTGTTTTCCTGGCACTATAGGGTTCCTTTAATAAGCCCTTAAAAATCAACGTTGGCTTGCCAACAACACTACTACACTTCACTGAATAAGCTGTGGGATTTATTTAGTAAACTACAAAATGTGAAATATTGGGTAAACCAGCTAAACTGGGAATGAGAGTTGGAGAATATTACCAAATCTATTTTTTGCATACATTTTGCAATTTATATTTAAGTTCAATACTTTTAGGGGAATAAAAAAATGTGTGTCATGCTGTGGGTGCCTGACAATAATTTGTTATCTAATATCTAATATATTGTTACGTAAGCTGTAGATTATTACAGGGTGCCAGTTGTGCTAAAAAGTTTGCATACCCTTGGAGAATTGGTAATTTATATACCATTTTTAAATAAAAAGAGTGAGCAGGCAAAACACATTTATTTTATTTCTTATGGGATTTATATTCATCTGTAGGTTATAACAGAATTTCACAATCATAAAACAAAACATGGCAACAAAGAAAAAATCAAATGACCCCTGTTCAAAAGTCTGCATACCCTAAGTTTTTAATACTGTGTATTGCCCCCTTTAGCATCAATGGCAGCGTGCAGTCTTTTGTAATAGTTGTCTGTGAGGACGACTAGCACGACCGCACCACATTTCTGAGCTTACCTGCTCATCAGCTAGCCGGGAACCGCTCCTCCATGCTGTCCCATCGTATCCAAGATGGCGCCGACCATGTGGTCGTGTCCATCGATGGCTCCGCCCCCCATAATTATACGAATGTGCGTGTGATGTCACGACGTCAACGCACGTGCATGTTCTGGGGTCAGAGCCCTCTGACCAATCAGAGCCTAGAGAGGGATATTTAAATCCCTGATTCACCCCAGTACCTTGTCCTGTCGTGGATTTCTGTTCCTGGTTCCCGAGAGTGCGTTTATCCTTGTGATTCTGACATTCTGGTATTTTGACCTTGGCTATTCCTTTTTATTCCGATTTCTGGTTTCCCTGACTTGGCTTGTTTAAACGGTATTTGTATATTTCTGGCTTCCTTGACCTCGGCTTTCCTTTTGACCATTCTCTGTTTCTAACATATTAGTCCGGCCATTCTAAGGACCGGTTTACGTTCTGTCCTTTTATTTTATTTTCATTTTCTATGTATATGTTTACATAATTTCTGCGTGTTGGACCACACTAGCAGTAACTGCTTATCTGGAGACACCACCGGTAGCTCTGCCACCTGTACCTACACCTGTGGCATATAATCCTCTATCCATAACCCTTTCACCTCCTCCTCGTTTCGGAGGTGATTCTAAGGATTTCAGAGGTTTTCTAAACCAGATTGAATATTATTTCGAAGCTTCCCCCGGTTCCTTCCCTACAGATAAATAAAAAATGGGCTATCTTATGAACCAATTAACGGGGAAGGCTTTAACCTGGGCTAATCCCTTATGGGAAAGTGGAAATCCAGTTGCTCGGGATTATAATGTATTCGTAACGGCATTTAAAACTACCTTTGAGCCTAAGGGGAGAGAGAGAAATGCTGCAAAATCCTTAATGAGAATAAAGCAAGGCACCCGCTCTGTAGTCGATTACGCCATAGTGTTCAGGACACTAGCATCTGAGGTGGACTTGACTAACAGTGGTCTGGTGGCAGCTTTTGCTGAAGGGTTGGCTGAAAATATACAGGATGAGACCGCAGCCAGAGACCTTCTGGTAAATCTTAACGAATATATTGCCTAACTGATTGATATTGACAACAGACTCAGGGAAAGGGAGTAAAGTAAACAGCGTACTGGACTTACCAACTTGTCTATAGCTCCTCGTTTCTCCAACCCAGTGATTGTTAATCCTGCTCCACCTTCAGAAGTTGAACCCATGCAATTGGGCATTGCTAAACTCACTGAGGCAGAAAGACAATACAGACGCAATGAGGGGTTGTGTCTATATTGTGGTAAGAGGGGACATCTAAGGCTCCCATGTCTGGCTCGGCCGGAAAACTCATGCACCTAAGGCACGTTCGGGGACCAACCTTAGGTGTGATGTATATGTCCCCTAAATTGACTAAGAACCGCTTCCTTATAAAGATCACTCTGTCTTGTAAGAGAACTACTGTTCAGTGTGAGGCCATGACTCTGGGGCAGCAGAGAATTTTCTTGATAAGGAATTCTCTGCCAAACATCTCCTGCCTTTAAGGCAGAAAGATAGACCCATAGCAGAAGAGGCTATTGATGGGAGACCTCTTATCCAGCCTCTCATCACGCATAAAACCCTGCCGATCCCTGTCTCAGTATGCATCTTACATTCAGAAGAGATTAATCTTCAGGTTATATCTTCCCCTACATGTCCTATAATACTCGGTTTTCCTTGGCTCCAGAAACACAATCCACGTTTAGATTGGGTTGAAGGAGAGATTGTGAGTTGGGCAAAGAGTTGCAGAGGTCATTGTTTACAACAAATGCCACAACGAGTTGGTACCATCAATGTCCCTACAGCGCCTCCCTTAACCACAAAAATCCCACCACAGTATTTGGATTTAAAGGAAGTATTCAAGAAGGTTCAGTCTGAGACATTACCACCGCACAGACCCTATGACTGTGCCATAAATTTGTTACCAGACACTATGCCTCCTAAAGGAGGAGTTTATGCACTGTCTCCTCAAGAAACGCTGCTTAGAGGAGTACATTAAAGATGCTCTAAGAAAGGGTCACACACGAAGATCCTCTTCACCTGCTGGGGCTGGGTTCTTTGTCTCCAAAAAAGGAGACCTACGCCCCTGCATTGATTATAGGGGTCTGAATAAAATAACGATTAAAAACGCCTTCCCCATTCCCCTTTTTTCTGAGCTATTTGATAGGTTGAAAGGTGCCCGAGTATTCACTAAACGCAACCTAAGGAGTGCATACAAACTAGTTTGAATTAAGGAAGGACATGAGTGGATGATAGCATTTAATATGAGAATGGGACATTATGAATACCTGGTTATGCCGTTTGGCTTGTGCAACGCCCCAGCGGTATTTCAGAATTTTATAAATGATGTCCTTAGAGATTACCTCCACATGTTCTTACTAGTATATCTAGATGACATTCTTATCTATTCCCCAGACCTAGAAACACATCACGAACATGTGAGAATCGTATTAAAGACCTTGTTAGAGAACGGCTTAAATTGTAAGCTTGAAAAATGCCAATTTGACCAGACTGAGATACAGTTCTTTGGATATGCTATATCCCCTTCTGGCTTCAAAATGGAACCACGCAAACTGGAGGCAGTATTGCAATGGCCGTTACCTAAAGGTCTTAAATCTACACAGCGTTTTGTAGGATTTGCTAATTATTACTGCAAATTCATTAAGGGTTTCTCATCGATAATAGCTCCTATTACCAATCTTACCAAAAAAGGAGCAAATTGCAATTCATGGCCAAAGGAAGCATTCGAGATATTAAAATCTTTATTTGCTTCAGGACCCGTCCTGATGCACCACGACCCGACCAAACCTTTTATTTTAGAAGTAGATGCGTCAGAAATGGGAGTAGGAGCCATTCTGTCTCAAAGAGAAAGTCCTGTTGCACCTTTACATCCCTGTGGGTTTTTCTCTCGTAAACTAACTCCTGCAGAGAAAAATTATGACATTGGGAATAGGAAATTACTGGCCATTGTACTTGCTCTTAAAGAATGGAGGCATCTCTTAGAAGGTTCCAAAGAGCCACTTTTTCACCGATCACAAGAACTTGGCTTATATTGGGGACTCTAAGAGACTGTCCTCCCGACAGGCTAGATGATCATTATTCCTCTCCCGATTTAATTTTTTCATTACTTACAGGCCCGGGACCAAGAACACCAAGGCAGATGCGCTGTCTAGACAGTTTGAGACATGAGATTCCTGA